ACTCAACGCCTGACTCAGAGAGTGCAAAATGCATGTTGTCGTTTTTGCTTTAATATTCCCCCCGAAGCCATATTAGTCCCTATTTAAACAATGCTTCAATTTTGAATATGGAATCGCGAAGACAGTTACATCTGGCTAGTCTATTGTTCGATGTAATAAAAAGTGAACAGCCAGTTTATCTCTTTGAAAAGCTAAATTTCTCTTCACGTATGTATGGATACAGATTCATTTGTTCGAAATTATCATTTCAAGCACACAGAACTGTGGCATTTACTGGCAGCTTCCGCTACCAAGCAACAAAATGTTGGAACAACATCCCGCCACCATTTAGGCATCTGACTACCGTACAAAGTTTTAAAAAACATCACAAAGAATACTTATTAAAAAAACAAATTTTAGGCATTCCACAGAAATTTCTTGGCTAGCGGTTGCAAACTCATGTAATGATTTTTAATATTTTTTTTTTTTCCATGTTTCTCTTATTAATATTTTCTTTTTTTTTTTTTCGCTTTATCCTTACCACTCAGTTAAAATTATATCAAATTATACTCTTGAACTATTTACATTATTTTTATTATACACACACTGCACAGACAATCACCAAAAATATTACTCTTTTTATTTTGTATTTATTTTATTTATTATTTTCACGTACCCTCAAATGGGTTAAAGCTGAAAATCAGTGTTTTGTTCCTTGAACAATGTTACACGCTGAGCTTCGACCTTTTTGTATTGCTGCAGATCACACATAATAACACAATTATAAATCTTATGTTGTTTTATGTATTGTCTATTCTTATGTACATGTTGTGTGTGATTAGTAACAAACAAATAAACGATCTATCTATCTATCTATCTATCTATCATAACTTTTTCAACTAAGTCTGATTTTTATGAAGATAGAAAGATGAAAATGTGGAGTGTGGCTCTCAACAAAAAGAATATTTTGTTACTGCTTTTACATATTTTTACACGTGAATGCGCGCATTGTAAACAATAAGAAATACAAGTAAGCGGATAACAGTTATTGAGTCGTAACGACTACGTATTCTCTATAATCCGGTATTTTTTTCCGATTGTTGAGCTTATAGCTCATAACGCTTCATGATTGGTTAATACATTGAAGTATTATTCTACATAATGTGAATAAACATGGTAACACAGGTTAATCGTATAATGTCCATTCACGTCTCTGATACCTCTTAATTGATTTTAATGAAATTTTGTAAATGTGCATTATTTGTTCCATATAGATAGGAAAGTTTTTATCCCAATAAGAAAAAAAAAGATTTTATTGACATTACAAAAAAAAAAATAGTTCAAAAGGTAGACTTATGGTAATGCTGTATACCATTTTCTTCAAGTCAACCTTTGGTAAAATAGAAATATTCGTTGAAAAAATAGAAAATTGTTGGAAACAGTTGCAGGTATCTATATTAACTCAAAATCCGGTAGGTTTTCAAAAACAATTACCATTTATAAATTATGAATTATTTTTAATAAGCTTATATTTTTAATAGCTGTGCGTGCAATTTCGTCCGCGTACGGTAGTTATTCTCTAAGTAATAAATTTGAACATTATGTATAAAATGTATTTTCTAATATAAAAAATACATAATCTGTAATACTATAAGACTTGTCATGGATTGTAATTTGCTATTATTATGACATATAAAATGTAATCATTTACTTTATATGACGATATTTCATTAATTATGTACCTATATAAATTTATTGGTTTAATTTAAATTATTTTTTTCTTTAATTTTAATAATTACCAACATTAATTTTATATCCTTATTTAATTAATACATTCAGTTTGCACGCCTACAATTTTAACGGAATTACACAGATGCCAAAAGTTCTGTCACATGACCCTTATTATGTTAAATATCTGTTTAAAGCAAATAAATATTTCATTTCATTTCACTGAGGTTTCTCGAAATTCCCTCGGGAAGGGATTCGAGTGGACGAAGCTGCGGGTAACAGTACTAGTATATATTTAAAGTGAAAAGGGTATAATTTAATCGTTGACAGACTCACTAGCTTTATTGGATACATCTTTGGTAGCTAAGTTCGTTTCACCCTTTTGCGACCCTCGGTTACCTGTGTATAACAACCTTGAATACACCTGTGTCATATGTTATTACCAACCGATAAAAAGGTTGGATGAGCCTGAATTTTGTTCATTACACAAGTAATTGCTATGGACCTTTTAGTGAGGTCTCGGGAAATAAGCTTGTGTTTATTTACTGGATGAAGGTAGACGCGAGAGGAATTGTAATTAAAATATTCAGTTTTATTTTCGTGTTACAACTAATTAACGAGATTGAACGAAAAATTTGTATGGTCCAACCCAAGGCCTTAAAAATGTTATTTGCCCCGGACTGGGCTCAGATAATTAAGTTTTGAGAGAGGTGAAATTTATTTTTCGTGGCGGTTACGGTAGCGTTATACACAGATAAACATAATACTTGCCCTATCAGAATGTATGAGATTAGGTTTTACGAAAAATGTTCTAGACCATATTCCATAAAACTTTATATTTGGGGGATGGTATTTTAAATCACACATTTTAATTTTTTTATTCTTATATTAGCCGTTAACTGACCACTACTGAACATAGGCCTCCCCCATAAGGGGGGTTAGTCAGTAGTGCTTTTTTTTTATACAACTTAGAATGGCATACAAGCTGACGGTCCATCTGATGGAAAGTGGTAACCGTCGCCTATAGACATGAGCAGTATCATGGACATAACAGAGTATACTCTTTGGCGTTGCCATTCCTGAGGACTCAGGTGTTATTCCTCTGTACCCAGTAAATTCACGCCATATCCCACCCTTCAAACCGAAACACAGCCATGCAAACACAACTGCTTCACGGTTGAAACACGAATGGGACAGAGGTACCCAAGCAATCGACTTTTGTACAAAGTCTCCCTACGCTTAGCGGGCAGGTTGGCAACCGCAGTTAGGCTTCGGTGATGTTTTAAGAATCTTGATCATTTAGGCATATATGACGACACACATGACAAAGTAAAGGGTCCTTTAATTGCTGGAACCACACGGCGAGGATACACACATATCTTAGTTGATGCCGTGTTATCTAAAATCTAGAAAATAATATCTATGATAAATTTGGTGCAATGATTTGCATAAATCGAAGAAAACCTATTTTAAATAAAATATTAAGTTATTTGATATAATACTGGCTATATCCAGATAACACTGGATTCCAAATACGAATAAATTTAAAAAGTGGAAATACGACCCAAGAACGTCTAAAAGATACTTGGATTTCGAACGCTCGGCGGCAGTGTTGATTTATTGAATTTCTAGTCCGTTTCTTGGCGAACTAAGAATTTTTCTATCAGAAAGAGAATGCAATTGAATTGAACTATTTGTCTTTCTACCGAAGCTGATATTGGCAACTAGAAAATTATATTATTTGATACAACAGAGTACTCCGGCCGACGATAAAAAGTGGGCTTTCTGGTCGTTTTTTCAATGTTGTTCAACACGCTATACATATTGTTATAAATTAAAAAAAATTGGTTTTATTGCCAATTATAGTCTTAATTTTTTTTTTTCAAAGTATTTATTTAGTCGGTTTGTTTTATATTCATTACTAATATTATAAATGTAAAAGTGAGTTTGTTTGCTCAACCAATTACTATAAAAATTTTGTATACACGTAATATATGAGATGAAGGAGACTGTAAGTTACTTTTATCCCGGTCAATAAACATGTACCGGATACGCGGACGAAGTTGCGGGTAAAGGATAGTATATTGTAACTATCTATAAGATGTTCCTTATCCCATGGTTATTTTGTTTCTATAATAGTTCATCCCGTGTGGTCCCGGCATAGAATAGGCCACTCCTTCTTTTCCCGTAGGTGTCGTTAGAGGCGACTAAGGGAGGACGAGGGATAGGCAGCAGCGTCCTACTTCAAACATCTCTAAAGCCTAACCGACTGCGTTTACCAATCCGACTGCCGAACGTGGCAACTACTGGCACAACCCCCCTAGGGGAGGCTGTTGTTCAGCAGTGGACAGTTAAAGGCTGATATGATGATAATAGTTCAGGTGGGTTATTTTATTTGCTATTTCAATTTTCAGGAATAAAAAAAGCAACTTTCCTATTGTACTTTAGTAAAAACACTATCGATCCTTGCAAAGCATATTCCGTGCTACCAAGTTATAAATAAAGACTTACCTAAGACATTATCTGTACTATGATAACACTGCCTAAAGAATTCTCATAATATACCGGATCAATTTCCGTTAATGGTTTTTACTGAACTAAACTGACCGAATAAACAGTTTCTCTTTGAGTCGTCGAGCTATAAATGTAACTCGTTGCATTTATAGCCCGACTTATGGCTTTAGGGTAATAAACCACCACTTTGACATTGGTCAAAACCGTTTGAAGAGAAATTAAGATTTTGCTCCGCGAAAATGTAGTGAACTGTGTCAAAACTAATTTTCAAAGTCAAATCGAAATTATCTTTATTCAAATAGACTTATTTAAAAGTACTTTTAAATCGTCATTATTTTATGAATATAGGGTTCCATTTATAGCCGATTACAAACACTTTTAAATCGTCATTTTTTATGTATACAGGGTCCCCCCTTTTGTAATTAATTACAAATACTTTTAAATTGTAATTTTTCATACGTAATAGCACGAGTCATTTTTATCGATTGCAAAAGAAACTATTAAAATTGGTTTGGAATTATAATTATCACGCACCTTACACATCCTATTAATATAATAAATACGAAAAATGTAATTTTATAGATGGATGATTAGATGTTTGTTACTCTTTCATGAAAAAACTACTGGACCGTTTTGAAGAAATTTGGTACACGGGTTGATTATATCATAATTTAGCACATGGGATACTTTATGTAATGACTCATGTGGGCGAAGTCGCTGGAGACTATAACTGAGAATCTACTTCTTTTAGAAAGTTGTAAAAAATAAAAATAAATATCTCGGGTTTAAACGTATAATTTGTGTAAATGTGTAAAACAATATAACAATACTAAAACAAATACATATTATGCAATATTATCACACGGGGCTAAAACCCAAAGCTAATATGGTATGTCTGGCATTAAAATAATAATTTTTAGTTTTAAACGAATCAGCTAGCAATACAATTGCTGGGAGTATCAAGTAAACTTCATTTTATGATTTATATAAATAACTGCGAGGTCCAGTCGCAATATTTACTGAAAGCACTGTATTCGCTTTGGGCATACGCGAGAGATTCAATAAATTAATCTCTTAGAATACTAAAATTCTCAAATGTATACTCAGTAATGTCCTTCTGGTTTCTGAATTCGGCTTTATCAATTTTGCTGCTCGGGCTACCAGTTGTTTTCAGCCAGTGTATCCTGGAAAAAAATTGGGTCATGAAATCCTCCACATTATTCTATAGGCTGAAGAAATTACAAAAACTTCCTTGGAACAGTGATACTGATCGCAATTCGCGCGAAAAAACGATTCCGAACTTGGTAATGCTTTAGCTCGTTATCAATGGGCAATAATCTGATTGCTCTTAGAATTTGGAGAATGTATTTGCCTTCATTGGGTTTGAAAGATGAAAAGATAAATTTGGTGTGGTGGACTGATTATAATTCGTTACGATTAGTTGAAAGTATTACAAAAAGAATTAGAAAATGGCAGTGTAATAATCCTATAGATTTCAAAAAGAATCAAGATTGATACAGAATTGACGTAGTCATCTAGTTTCCAAATTGAGTCTTTTTGAAGTCGTTTAAAATGAGAAATATGAGGCGTTCGGGAACATGAAAAGAAAGTTGAATGAATAGATGTTAAGAATTTTCAATTCGTTCATTCAAACTATATGAATCAGGATATATGGTCCCAGCGATGGCTTAAACTGACATATCATGAACAAATAGATCGCATACTACTCCTACAACCAGAAGTGGTTTGCATGCATGAATTAATAATTAATAGCGCAAGAAATGTGTGTAAGCACAGGGTAGAGATCTTTATTTCCATGGTTGTATCTCCGTAAGAAACAAAATGAAGGATCTATCTTCAGATAATTATATCAAACAAGGAAATTAAAACAGCTTAAGCGTAATGCATGTAGAGAGAGTACTTCCCTCTTTCATCTCAAAAGGTAATAAAAGCTAATGAGTATTTAAGAATATTGAACATATTTGCAAGATGCCATCTACATTCTGATTGTAAAGTTTTGTACAAAAATTTAGAACATTATATTAGAAGCATTGTTCAGGAAAAAAAAAACAAAGCTTCGTGATGAACGTTTCTATATATATTTTGAAAGTACATTTATTTAATGCTGTTTTACCAGTTATTATGATTTATTATAGTAAATAAACAGTAGCTTTTTAATTGTTATTAAATTACAAAACAATACGGTGACGTCAAAGCAAACTGTGACGGTAAAATGCAAACCTATAGAAGCATTCATGTATATGCCTTGCTAAAGAGGTGGTTCGTATAACTACTTTATGAGGTTGATTTCCACGAAGGCTCCTATGGAAATCTTCATGGTTAAATTTTAGTCAGTTTCATTGCTAGCAATATACCCTAACAGGTCGACCGCCACGCGGTTCCCCCTGGAAACCATCGTGGCTAATTCTAATTGAATTCGTCAGGATGGGCTAACTGGCCTGTTTTCATTCTCATCGATCATTCTTCACTGGTGCTCCGTCAGCGTATCCCGTTAGCGCAGGCGGAGCTACCATTCCATTTTTACCCATAAAAAAAAAAAGTGTACCGATATCACAGGCTGCGTTACCATTCCATTATAATCCATTAAAAAAGTAAGGTACTATGCTATAACGTTTGCTTTCAGAAATTACAATAGTTATGTCCCCTCGCTAAGTCGGATCAGACAATGTATGGTATAGCTAACTTACTTAAGGCAAGTTCTATAAACTATTGTTTACGGGAGATTAAGGAAAGGACCATAAGTTAACTAGCAATTAGAGGCCTTACAATTGTCTCAATAATGTTTCATTAACAAAGCTACCAAAATGACAGAAAGCAGATTAAATGTTACCGGTTTCCCTTGGGAAAGGTTTTAGGGTCAACAATGTGCGCGTATTACTGTTTGGTGCTACGTCCACATACAAGATTAATTTGTTACCAGGCAGGTGTAATTTGCTACTATTTTAGTGAAATAATAGTCAAAAGCATATTAGACCTGCATTATTAGGGTTCCGTAGCTTATTTTTATAATTTTAAACGAAAAGGCCCTGTTTGCAGATTTTTTTTCTATGTGTAAGTTTGCTATTTTTGTTAATCACACTTAAAGGACTGAATGAAACTGAATTAAAGGTTCTATTCATGTAGGTTATATTCTAACTTTACACATATAATAATTTATATATAATACTAATGTATGCAAGCAAAACCGCGGGAAACATAATATATAAAAAATGAATGCCTGCCCCATCGGTATACGCTGGCGGGACACCAGTAGGGAAAGATATCGCAAGTTCATTAAATTCCTAATATCTAATACCGCATAAGTGTTTTGCAGTCAATAATTTGAATTAAATTCTAAAATAAACAACAAAAGATCTAACCACTTTATGTAAACAAATCTTGTATTTCCAATGTTTAAAACAAATGGATTCTAGGTAGAAGTATAACTCACATTGTTTCCACTTTATCCGATGGTCCTTGCATGTGTCCTAGTACAGTGCCTTGCGCCGTATTCTTGCACCAGCCTCGCAAACCCAACTTGTCGGCTTGCTCTTTGGTATACTAAAACAATGTAATAGATATTTAATTATGGAATTTATTGTAAGAAATTGTATAGTAATTATAATGTTAACTGCAGATATACAAATGACAAAGATAATCTAGAATCACTTCCCTATATCTATTGTTTATAATTTGGCTATTTTTATCCGCTTATTCTTTTTTAGACAGTCTGAATATTTGCATTTGGGTTATTCTATAAGTTATATTCTTTTTAAGAAGCATTTCATAAAGTAATCCCTAAAAAGTAGAAAAAATAGCTAGAGAGACTTCAAGAATCTGTATTTAATATAAATAGCAATAAATGGTTATTATTGTCTTTTCTAATTTCTTTCGTCTCATTAACTTCTGTTGTTCTTGTTTATTTTCATTTCAAAAACAGTATATTCATAAATGGCATGTAAATCCATCATCCAGTCAAAAGCCTCAAAGATAGCCTAAAAACTTTTGCTTCTAGAGTGCGCCACTTTTACTACTCTTGTAATTGTAGCAAGTTTAATAAATTACAGGTTTCATGGACGGAAATAGAATGGTAACTTCGCCTGCGATATCGGCATTGGCTGGTCACCAGTCAAGCATGATAGGTGAGGATGAAGAAAGATCAGTTGGCCTTTCGTGAGAAATTCATCTAGAACTAACCACGATGATTCTAGTTGAATGAGTTGATTCCAGAGAGAACTGCGTGGAGGTCGATTTGATATTGCAAGGAATGACGCTGTTAGATAGATCTCCATTACTAACTATCCCCCCCTCCGCCGATAAATTACAGGCAGGTATAATTGTTAATGATAGAATAAGATTATTAATAGTACAAGGCATACATATCTGTCACATTTGTCTCTCATTGGAGTGGGCAGAAACAAGGGACCGCCGATGCTTCGATTTAAACAAACTGTCGCGTCCTCCACATTTATCAATCTTTTATACACACTCGTCGGTTATTGGTATTTTTTAGCCTTTCTTCAGCATGTCGCCTATTATCTTTTTTTTATATCACTGAGTTGACAAACAAGCTTACGGCCCACCTGATGGTAAGCGGTTACCTTAGCCTATGTTCGCCAGTAATATCAGGAGCATCATGCGCTCGTTACTGACTCTGAAGAAACCTCTTTACTTCTTTTTTGTAGGAGTTTTTTGGAAAAACCTCGACAGGGAGCTCAATCTATAACCAGAGCGTTCATAGTATTTGGTCCACATAGGACCAAATACTATGAATATGAATGAAACAAATAATGTGTCCATCTACCGCAGCCCCTATTGACATCTTCATTTATTTATGATGACTAAGGTGTTATGTTTCTGTACCCAGCTAATTGGGAAACTGTTAAGCTTCCTTAGTTGGCAACTAGATATTGAATTTAGAAAACTTAGAAATGAGATTATAATTCATTATATTATTTGGGTTTATAATTCTGTGCAGTTAAACTTACTACTCAGAAATATACATCTTAAACAGTTCCAAAGACTTCAAAATCTAAAGCATGTAATGCTATGTTAAGATCTGATTCAGAATTTAGAAACTCAAATAATTCAGAAACAGCCTGTTTTGAGAATTCTAATATTTTTCAAAAATAATCTAAATTGTACAAAATTAAAAAATTAACATATTGACAGTAGATTTGATAATTGTCAGAATACAAATACTTTATTTTTGATTTTATTTATCCTTTTTTGCAAAATGAAGCTTATATTTATACTTAGGTACTGTTCTTTATCTATGTTAATAGATGATAATATAAACAGTAATATCTAAAAAGGAAAATTAAGTTAGTGTTTGTGCATTATAAATAAGTAAATTCTCACTAGTTTTATAAACATAAAAGTGAGTCTGTTTGCTACCTCTTGGCACTCTAACAACTAGGCTAATCATTATGAAATGTTTATTATTTTATATCATATGATACCTTATATTATATGACCGTCATATGAGTGAGTCATAGAACGGCCTATAGTACGTACGCGTTTGTTTGTATTCCTGGTTATAAAGTTAGGCTTTCATGATGTTTTAAGAAGGACACTGCTGCCCATCTCTTGACCATTACATTCCCTTAGTTATCTCTTACAACATCCATAGGAAAAAAAAGGGTGGCCTATTCTCTGCTAGGCCCACAAGGCAATTAATATTACTGGTGAATTAGTGAAGTTGCAGTTAAATATTAAGTACAAAGTAATGAATTAATAATTTATGCCAATATATATATTGGCACAACTTTATATATTTAATTAACGCACCACAGAGATCTTAACTGCTGGTATTATTAATATTATCTAAAATAATATTAACAGATCAGCTGTCTTGGATAACCTTAAATAACTAGATTGGTTATTATAATTTATCCATTAATTTATTAAGTAGTTTTTAACTGTTTATTTACAAAGTTTTCTTATCTAACTTTGAGTAGTACCTTTCGAAAGAAAACGCCCTGGACCCTTCCAAAGACTTCGAAATCTGCAGCTTTCAGTGCCATCGTGATAGGTACGGTTGTGCTAGAGTTTACTCTTAGTACATTTGCCACCGTTGTCAAAATTAATAAACGCAACATCTAGAAATAAATAATTTTACATTCTATACATTTCACACAAACTTCCAGTAGAACCTTCGAGGGAAAATATCAAATTCGATATTTCGAACACTTTTGCATTCTAAGAATTAAAAAAAGGAAATTATAAATTATTTGGACAGATAGCTATGGGTTCAGTTGTCAGTTTTTCATTGTTCCGAAATCTTCAGTCTTCAGTCATTCAAAGAGATTTGACGTCAAATTGTCAATTTGCTGTCTCCGTCCGTCAGTCAGACTCAGTGGTGAGTTGAGTAGGTTATTTTTATTTTGTTTATTTCTTGTAATTTATAGATTAAATCGTTAATTTACGTTATATATTGCTATTTTTTCCAGAAGCCTACGACGATATATAATAAACAATATAGCATAAACAATGGCCTTCTATTGTTGTGGCAGGTTAGTTTGCAAACATTATGTAATAGGTTTAGTTTGTTTGCACGTTCTAAAGGTGTAATTTTACAAATTCTTTTTAGATTGGGAACCAAACCGGTGCTCTCCACTATTAGCAAATTTCCCACTGTCTTAAGCGCCGCTCAATATGCTCAGGCAGCAGCTGGCGTGCCAAAAATTACATACAAGAAGTTCGAGCCTCCGAAGCCGGAACACCACGATATTAGAAATGAAAGGCTTCAGCGCCCACTGTCACCGCATCTTACTATTTATGCTCCCCAGCTAACCAGCATGTTATCAATCACTCATCGAGCCGCAGGTCAGTTTCTTCACAATATTCAACTAATGTTGAAGTTAATTAAATTTGCCTTGGTCTTCTATCCTTAGATATTCGTTGATTGTTTTCTAATAATCTAATAATAAATTATATCCTAGTTTGAGATCCAGGTCCTTTGTATTTTCATGTGATACTGATTTTTATTATCTATTTAGTAAATGTATAAATTCGATCATTTTCTATATTATAAGTTTGAATTATATTTTTTTATATAACTTAGAATGGCAAACAAGCTGACGGCCCATCTGATGGAAAGTAGTAACCATCTCCTATAGATGGTATATATAATTGAATTTATGAAACGATTTATGAAAGTGCAAGCAGCAAGAGATGTATGTAAGGACAGAGGTCTTTGGCACTCAGTTTTCTCTGCCTACCCTGTAAGGGACTTGGTGTGAAAGTATAAACAGATGTATAAATTAAAATCATAAATATTATATGTAATTTTTAAGATGTTTGAATATTATATTAATTTAGTATGACTGAATGAATTTGAAAGAAATTTGGCAAAGTTATACAAATAAAATTGGTCAGTTAAGAATTGAATTCACATATTCAGGGTTCTGTACATAGATAAAAAAAATTCTTTACAACTTATATGAAACAGGGACTTAATAGTTGTTATTATTGATATTTCAATTATCTTAGTTTGGGCCATAATTTTGTTTAAAAACTGGACCTCGTATATAAGTTTGTTTTTGAAGGTTTTTTGATAATTACTCAAAAATAGTGCTACGTAGAAACATTATTGTATTTTTTATAATATTCACATATACCTTTATATACTGTAATTATTTCAATTTTTCTTTTCACAAATTAGAGAAAGGGGCTGGAGAATGGAATTAAAAAAATTCATATTATTACATATTATAAAAATAATTTGCAAAAATTGAAAAACTATATTTTTTTTTATATAAAGTGTGCCATAAACATGAAAATCTATACCAATTTTCAAATTAATGGTAATTTCTGAGATATAGCACTGTGAGTGTCAAGCCATAAGGTCCTTTGTACCTTTTTGGTATGGACCTCTAAAAAGGAAATAATAAAAACATTTTACATTAAAAACAGTAAAATTAAGTATACATATTTTAAATGATATCATGTAATTTATTTTAATCACAAATTCATATCACAGTGAATTAAATTTAGGCACATTTTTAATATTCACAGTAATTTGATCAGCATAATTTTTTCAGGAATGATACTATCTGGTTACGTCAGTGCGCTGGGTATTGGAGCATTGATTCTGCCAAATGACATCTCCCATTACATCACCATGATTGAGGGGCTCCATCTGTCTCCTGCAACACTTTTACTAGCAAAAGCTGCAATTGCAGCTCCATTAGGCTACCACTTTGTCAATGGTATCAGACATCTATACTGGGATACGGCAAAGGGTCTGACACTCAAGGAAGTGTATTCTACTGGTTATGCTATGCTGGCTGCATCCGCTGTTGTGACCCTTATTCTTGCTGCATTATAATTTTAATCATCATACAATTTTGGAATAAAATAAGAGCAGGTAATGAAAATATTATATTTATTTATTTGTTATCATTTTAAGTAATGTCATTAATAAAATGTTCATAATCAGATTTGTTTTCATTAAATTGTACCAAGAATCAGTCATTACAATAATACAAAATGTTTATATTTTATTAATAGGATAATACAGTTCAAGCAATACCACAATTTGATATTACGTCGTGAATAGTATTAAATTTCTCGAAGTCTTGTTTCTCTGTGGTTTCCAACCCTGTTGCAGCATTCTGAAATAAATGGACTGCATTTTAATAGCAATAATTTTAGATGTTTTAGTATTCTAGTGGTATGATATACATATTATTGTTCTCTTGAACTTGGGGTTTTTATATCCAGACATTGTATAGTTATGAATACAATTTTGAACATACTTTACGGTGATGGAAAAACAACAAACCAATATAATCTGAAAAATGGCTAGACTTGGCCATATGTCACATGTTAGATTCTCTGATATATTTAGTGAAATATGTGGACATGTCGAGTATTATCAAATATTTTTGACTATCTCATTAGAAATTATAGTACCTAATGTGTATATTTATTTATAGTTATGTATTTACGGTTGTGGTATTGGTGGAGTATCTGCAAGATGATAGATAAGAAGTTATGTAATTTAGCCTATGGTGATTAATTCCAAATAACATATTGAGAAAGATAAGAGAGTATATTGCTAGCAATGCGACTCCTGGTACCAATTATTAGGGGATTGTTGTTAGGTTTTGTAATAAGACAGTCGGCGCAACTTCTAATAAAGGTGCGATTATGTTATACAATTGTACGAAGCATTTTCAGAATTCAACTCAATTATTTGGGACTCTCATGAAACAAAATATAAGATAATGTTAGAAAGAGTTCAGAGGAAATTTGCACGTTTTCTATATAACAAACCTTACGGCTACTATCCTTATTTGTATCCATCACTTCGTATCTGGTATGGCTTTTTTTTATGGGTGATAATGGTATGGCAACCCCGCCTGCGTTAACGGGATACGTTCTCCAAGGAGAACCGCGGGGAGGTCGACCTGGTTGGGTATATTGCTAGACTCCATTACTAACAATCCTCCCCCCCATATCCGTATTGTAGGTATAGAGACACTCGAGGTAAGTCGAAAGTGCAATTTGATGGTACAATATTATCTATTGCTCTACAGCAGAATAGATAATCCTGCGGCACTCAACCGTTATTCTTTGTACGCACCCTAACGCTACATACGATTGCGTGCATGTCGATTACTATCGGCACCATCGATTCTAATCTGTACTACACAGTTTGCTCTTATTTATTATCTATTTCTCTAGTCAATTCTCCGATTGCTCAGCAGATGGATATTAATATTTTTAATGACAAATTAAATAAAATTTCTAAATGTTTAAAATTTTTAAGTTAGTAAAATGAAGCTTGGGCTCACTATACGTTTTGGGAAACTAACTAAACTGAGCAATATATTCTTAAATAAATAAATAAAAGAGTTTGTGTAAGACTTACGTTGAATATAACATTATCGTTCTTTATGAATTCTCCATATATATTGAATAAGTCAGTTCTATCATCAAGAAGTTTGGCCAAACTCAATGGAGTGTGTGCTATGGATACGTCGGATATAGTGTTCTTAGCTGCAAGCCATGTTCTAGAGGGGGCCATTGCGACATTGCATGTAGCGTAGTTGGAAAGACTATCGCGACCACCTGCTTCTCTGTTCAGGCATAGAAGCTCAAATTGTGACTCGTCATATTTATCCAAGTCAGCACCTGCAATATAATATAGTTGTTATGGTAAGAAATATCTCTATCAATGTTCAGTTTCATATTCGAGATTTGTCTTTATTTACTTAAATAATTCTGCACGTCTTGTTACAAGTAGTTTTCTAAGATTACGCAAGTTACAGAAAAAAATACATAATCACATTACTATGAAATGTTTTTTTTAACGTCAAAATATTTTAAATTAATTACAAAAGCAGCTAGTTGTGCTTGTAAATAAACATTTGTAAGGATTTAAATGAAATTAGTAATGAGTCGACTGTATAAACTCTTATAGATAGAAAAGGACCTAGAATAGACCCTTGCGAGTTCCTGCACAATATAGGATATACGTTTCATTTTTAAAATCATTTATGATTGAAAAACGTACTAGTATATTAAAATATATATGTAATATATTTATTTTGTTTATAGATATGGTGGTACCATAAATTAAACTTACTTGATACAAATGCAACATCAGCTTGTGATTCTGTAAGACACTTCAGTGGATTCTTAGATTTGCATAGCTTCTTCAGCCTGGACACATCAGCACCTATACATAAGTAAAATGTGTAAATATATTGTTAATGATTTAGCAACTGCATTAAGTAAGTGTGAGTAGAGTATCGGAAATAAATATTTTACTTATATTTTGTTTAGTTAGACTAAGTAGGTAGTGAACTACAAGCCAGAAGTAGGAGGACCCGCGATACATAATTTAAAAATATTATGATACTTTAATACCTCCTTACTATATATGTATAATAAAAAAATTAAGTATAATGTTTTGGTATTTCCATAGTGTGATAAAATATTGTTAAACTTTTGACCTTTCTAGCAGTTGCTTTGCCCTAGCGCTTGACTGAAATCGGCGATTTTATAGGTATTGTATTTTTTATTAAATATTTCTAACTATGATATAACTTTAAAATGCTGCAAACTTTTGTTCTATCTCTATTTTTTTTCAATATGTTAATATATAAATAGTATAAATGAAAAACTTACAATCAAATTCTTTCTCAGGTATCATAAATATGACACGGGAGATTCTCTCTCGTATAAATCCGACACGGGGTCTACACGGGTACGACAACGTTTGTCGGATAAATCCGATTGGGGCAGTTAAAAGATTAAAGGTTTCAACTTCAAAGCATTAACTTCAAATAGGTGGGGCCCGAAACGGTTGGATAGATCAGTTACAACTCAGGTCAATATACGGAGATACTTGTACTTCTGGCTTTTAGATTCTAGTTTAGTTGGTACCTGTCGGATTATATCTCGGCTCATCAACACCAGGTAGGCATGAGCCGCCGAAGAACTCGCCAATGTCTCTGACGCACTGAAAAAAGATAAACACTCAGGCTCTGGAATGAGCTCCCTGCCGAGATTTTCCTTAGAGACTATTGTATGGGGTTCTTTAAAAAGCTGGTATTAAGGTATCTTTAGGGCGACAACGCGCACGTGATCCTTATTCATTCCTAGTATCGTAGGCGTTCATAAGCTACAGTGATCGTTTAATATCAGACAGACTAGGTATGCATATTTGCCATCTTCGTGATATAAAAATTAAAAAAAAAAGAAGTTTGAATCCGTATTTTAGTCAAAAGGTTAGCATTTCGTCTTATCTTTTTTATTATTCCAAACAACTGTTAAATCTAATGGAATTATTTTCTGCAAGTAACTTTTTTTATCTACATAAAGGTACATATCTATAAGTATTTTCTTGATATGGTTTAGATATCATTGTCACACTTCTACAAGTCTTTATACTTCAGATATTGTCAGATTTCGTATAAAGGAAGATGCCTAATTTGTTTTTTGTGACAGAGAGGGATTTAACTTTGTTAATACAAACCTCACTAGAACTGGTGCTTATTTTTCCCTTGTTGATGAGATAGTAGAGAGGTGCGTGCAGTCCGCTGAATGATCCGAATGGGTCGTGGCAAGATCTGAGAAGTAAACATTGGGATGTAGTATAAAGTAAGTTTTGTATCAGACAGTACTTTTCTAATGAGTGAAAATGAAATAGTGATATTGGCTGCGCTATTGGTATACGCTGGCGGGGCACCAGTGAGGGATGATAAGTGAGGATGAAGCAGGTCAGAAGGTTAAATCGGGATGAATTCAACAATAATTAACCAGGATGGTTTCCAGGGGGAACGATTAGGAGATCAACATGATACCCTATAGTTCGTACAGTTAGAATTCATTATCAACAATCCTTTTCCATCCTATAAAAAATGGGTATTAACGCGATGCCATAAATCATACAACATTAAAGTCTATAAGTCCTTAAGTAAATGGACAAATGTATGTTACATTTGTCCATTTAGAACTTCATGACGACTAATTTCAGATGGGATAGTTTGGGCCATTTTTTTAGTGATGAAAATGAAATGGTATCCAGTCTACGTTGTTGATATATGCTGTCATTGTCGTCATTCGTTGGTACCCTACCAATGAATAAAGACAGGTTATCGTAAAAATAATCAGGAATTACTTAATATGGTTTCAAAGGACTACCGTATAGAGGTAGAATAAACAGCATATTGTTAGCAATGGGGATTAAATTGTTCATTACTAACAATCCCTCATCCCCTAAAACAATTTGAGGCATTTGATATTTTTAGTTCCGTCCACATCCCTGGGATGTGCTAAGTGGAAGTTAAAGAAAGACCAAAACAAATCAGTGTAAGAGAAGGAAAACTCGAAATTAAACATTAATGTATTATTATGGTAAAGATAGATATAAACATACTGTTTTCCTCTCAAATCTTCAATATTTGTGTACTTGGTGCCCTTCTTGATGACTGCTACGGCGTAGTTTGATGTTTTATTTGCACCGTACACTTCGTGAAATACTGGATGGAGGCCGTAATCCTTGCTTGCTGACGCTACTCTCAGAGCATCCACGGAGGTTAGATCTGAACCATTGTCTTGTACCTGTTTTTTGTTTTCTTTTTAATTATTATCAACAATTACGCTCACGAGCCTATATATCCTAAGTATAGGAGTCTATAGTATAGCTGTTATGTATTAGCCTTTATGTATTTATGTAAGGTACAAAACTTGTTACTTGATTTATAAATTTAAGAGAAACAATATGAGAAATATATCTCGGTTTTTTTTTACAACACAGGGGGCAAACGAGCATGCGGCTCACCTGATGGTAAGTGACTACTACAAATGGGTGCAATTAATAATTTGAAATGTAGGTAATGAAGGGGACGGATTTTACTCGGCGTTTGTTTTATGTAACGCCTTTAGATAATAGTAATGTAATATTTTCGTCAATTCGAGATCAATTTTGATAATTCTTTTTTTAGTTTATTCCCGTGTTGGTCCACCCTAATTTTGAAGACTCGTGTTTTTTTTTTTTAATTTTTGAATTATAAAAAAATCTTTTTATTTCAGTTATACCTATTGCTTACATTGAATTTATTGCATTAGTATATTAATTTAATCAGTGTAAATTTAGACATAAGAAACAAAGATAAATAAAATAAAAATTAAGATAATTTTGAATTTCTTGGCCATTACGTAATGTGGAATTATGAATTTGAAGATTCTATTATAGTTAGCAATCATATTCTCTAAAAATGTTTTTTATTTTAATCTTCTCATCTCTCTCATCTTTCATGTAAATGTACTTACGCTTTTAAGACATTCCTCATCTGAATTTTGTTGCACGCAATCCAATATCGGCCTAATGTCTCTGCTGAACGCAAAGGTAGACATAGTCCTGCATTTCGTTAGCGCCACATTGGACGTCACGCACAGTCTACAAACAGAATAGGTTAGTGAGACACCCTGAGGGTTTCAAGTGTTTTCCTAACTTAGACCTTAAATCGAGAGAATAAGGTTTGATAGTTTTAAAACATCAAAAAAGACTGGCTTTGCCGTTTTAAACCTTACACAGTGAACAGTGAAAAACTTTAGTCGATTCAAAATTCGTTCCGCGTACGATTTGAAGTGTGCAATTTTGAACTTTACACTAAGAGTAAAAGGCTGTGGATGTATCGCTTCTGTTAGTTTTGCTGATGCTGTGTGTTTTAGTTTTATTTTCCTTTTAGTAAAAGAAATGTGTTCCGGTTTGTGTCTGTCGTTTTATTACACAAGTTGTCGAGTTATTTAATTTTCTGTAGAAATCAGTCATTTTCTGTATTTGCTGGTTGCTGCTGTTGTGATGAGCAACACTTGAATCAAATATGACAGGGGACTAGCTTACCGACGTCTCGAGTTGGAATTTTTTTGGAATGGACAATGTACGGACAAAATTGCTAAATATGAAGTTTTGCACAAGTTTCTATGTACATAATACTAGCTTATACCCACAACTTTGTTGGCGGGGTTTCGTTTGACCGGGATGTGTTTACTGACCGGAATAAAATGTAGGTAGTATCCTTCTCAATCTCATATAGTATATTCGTCAGTAGTAGCAACGCCTAATGTAGATCGGTAACCGCAGTTAGGCTTTGGTGATGTTTTAAGAGGGACACTGCAGCCTATCCCTCGACCATTAAGTTCCCTTAGTCACCTCTTACGACACCTATGGCAAAGTGGTCCATTCAATGCCACGACTACGGTAACTATAAGCTATAACTTATACTTTCAATGCAATCTTTACCTGACAACCAGTTCTGGGGCTCCGTGTCCTCTTTCAATGACTTCTGTATAGTTAGCTTTGTTGAGGTAGTCTAACGTTGGGATTGGAATGTTATCTGCGACGTGATGCATCTTTTCCGAAAGGCCTAGAACGTTTGTGAACCAGCTTGGTGTGGTGCTAGCTCCTACGAATAAAACAGTTCCAAAAATTAAATGGTTACTTACATACTTAGACCATAAACAAGTATAAGGCCATATTTAAATAGTCATTATATGACTATACCTATAAATAATATGTAATCTGTATTAATCTGTGAGGAGAACAATAAAGAATTTTTCATTAATTTATTCAATATAACTACTATTAGAAAGAAAAAGGTTCTGAAACTTTGTTTAGAAACAAATGATAAATAAAGATTATATACTTTTAGAAAATAATTAAATAAAAAATCCTAACATACAAAAGACATAAAAGGGTAAAGTGACTGATTAATATACAGCTAAATCTGCTAAACTTAGAAACATATAACAACAAAATTATATAATAATATTTACTAGCTTTTTTCCGTTATTTCGTATGTGTTATTTCAGAAGTCGGAAAATTAATGAAGTAACTACTTTTAGAGGGTGTATTAAGCTTGATAAATACATTTGAAAGAAAGAAACTGCGTTAAATATGTCGCTGTAATTTTTGTGTGATACAGGAACAAACATACATATATTCATACAGACAGAAACAAAATTGTAAAAGATATTGTTTTGGCCTCTATTGGTCTCATTAAGACCTCTCATAGTAATTTTTCTATATCTTCCATGTACTAGTACAGATATCGCCTATTTACAATTTCATTATGATAGTTTTTTTTTTTTTTTTTTTTTTTTTTATACGACTTAGAATGGCAAACAAGCTGACGGCCCACCTGATGGAAAGTGGTAACCGTCGCCTATAGACATGAGCAGTAACATGGATATAACAGAGTATACTGTTTCGCCCATGATACCCCCCATGCGTTGCCATTCCTGAGGACTCAGGTGTTATTCCTCTGTACCCAGTAAATTCACGCCATATCCCACCCTTCAAACCGAAACACAGCCATGCAAACACAACTGCTTCACGGTTGAAACACGAATGGGACAGAGGTACCCAAGCAATCGACTTTTGTACAAAGTCTCCCTCTGGTAGATATAATACAACTGAAATATAGTTTTACGGAAACGAGAAACATCGATAGCTACGGGCAAAGTCGTGGGGAATAGTAGGTACTGCAACAGACGTACCTGCATTAGCCAATTGCTTAACCTTTTCCCTGAGAGGTGAAAGTTGAGCTAAGACATCGTTGTGCCCAATCAAACCCTGCCAAGGTCTCGCGGCCCAAGTACAAGGTTTGTCACCAATTGGAACCTTAGATCCATCAACGCAAAGGTACCTAAATTGTTTCGGGTCTTCCGTTGAAGGTTTGGCGGGTATCGTGCCTAAGGGAAGCTGGAAAGAGAATAAAAACATCAATACCATGCTTTGGTCTTCCAATAAGTCAAACTTGGGTATGTATTTGCGTTGATAACATACATAAAGGGTTTAGCCGGATAAATATGTCGAATCTACTCCCAAATGGGAACCTATATTGAAACTTATGTTTTAATATCTACTTGGTGTACCAACACGATTTATGTATATTTCGCGAACAACTTTCACCTTGACCTTGAGATACGAGAAAAAGTAACCGTACGCATGACTATTATTCAAAGTAATATATCTCAAAAACTTATTAAGCTAAAGAAGCGAGACCAATGCGAGGTTGTAGGTTCCATTACAGAGTATATCATATATTTTTTTAGAATTTTTATTAGCAAAATAAATTAAAACTTTAAAACACAGCTACGGAACTCTATAAATGTGTGTTCGATACTTTCATTCTTTAGAAACTTTTATCCCAGTTCCGAATATCAATACCTTCGTAACTTCTGTGCAGAATACAAAATTTTTGCTGAAGATTACATTGGATTAAGATTCCTACCTCAATATCAAAAAACTTTATTATGGGGAAGTTTTCAATTCCACTGAATTTCTTATGTCATCCTTAATTCTTTACTAATATTATATACGCAAGTGTGCCTGTCTGTGGGTAACGATAGGGTTTATATTAATACTAATTATGTTACAATTAAAGTAGCATTTTTTAGTATTATTAACTCTAAGGTGATAGGTACCTAAAAAACTTTATTAGGTCTAAAAAATGTTTCAAACAAAGTATTGGAACTTTGCGAATAGAGTTTATTATTCTGATGCAATATTTGTCCTTGTCATACATTTCACAGTCAGGCAATTATCAGAGGTGTAGTTTTATCGATCGCTAATTAATTCTGTTCATAATGCCGAATAATCAGATTTATGCTCAAATCGATTGGTCCTGTCATCTACAAGTTAATTTGCTTTATATTAGATCAAAGATCTAAATTACTGTTTATTATTATTATTTATTCATGACACATTACAGAATAAAACATGATCCTCATGGTTATTAAGGAGACTAAGGTGTTATGACTAAAAGGCGACGAAAAGAGATACGAGTTCCACTCACATTAGACTTATTTGTATACTTACACCAAAGAATTTGTGCACAAAGAAGACTTTAGTGAAGGCCACTTCACCACCGTTGTGTGCCAGACACCTTAATGCACCCTCGTAACCACTGAAGTCATCCGGATAGTCGCATTTGTCTGGGTGTTGGCACAGTGCACATAGTTTGCTATATTGGGATTCTAAAAAATATTCAATTTAATGGACTAGTTGCATTTTTCTACCTAAAGACATAGATAATGTGTAAAATTCAAAGTTGGTAGGTTTTTACGTGACTTCAGAGCCAATTACTTTTATCAGTTACCAGATACATTAACCAAAAGTCGTTTGCATATATATCATTCTTTCATTCGTATTTCTGTCATAAAGCAGGTGTATGGAAGTGAAATTACTGGGTAAGGATGCATGACACTAGTTTTTCGAAATGGTAACTCTTAAGGTACAATGAATATCACATTATACACTGTGCTGTTTATGTCTACAGGCGATGATTATAGTTTTCTATCAGGTGGACTGTCAGCTTGATTATTCTGTCTTATATAAAACATATTGAAAATAACAGGCCAATATCATATTTACTCCAAGCTCTGGTAGTCTTTTCATCTGGTGACCAAGTGCCGACAATGCAGGACTGTTTGAAGAATGTGGACAGGGCTCTTAGTTCGTTCTCCTTGGGCGATATTGAGTGATCGTTCATCTTCGGGAATATCGGTCTTTTCATCAGCATTGTTAATGGTATCTATGGAAATAAAGTCAATCATATCGAATTATAAATGTGAAAGTAAGTTTGATTAATTGTGTGTTATTTTTGAAGGCTTAACTGCAAAACCCATCGTCATGCAATTTGCCACAAAAATCCGTGAAATTATAAAGATGTTTTTCATTTAATCATTCAAATATGTTTAAGCAACAAGTGAAGATCAAAGAATACAAAAGTCCTTTGTATAGATGCTATTGTGTTTCGGTTTGGATTGTGAAATATAGTCTAGGGATATAATAAAAATATCTGCTTATTGTTCTAATTTATGCAGGCAAAGCAATATAAAACAATAGATGGTGCCTCCTATCATATAATTAACCCATGTTTTCATTATGTAAACTGCACCGTTCACTTCCCAAATCCATTTCTCATGAGTCATGTTCCATTTATCTTTAGGGTAAAACCCGCTGATATGAAATATAGCGTGGATGAAACATTGAACAATTTCATGGAAATATCAGATGTGGCGGCAAATTTCCATCCAATGCATAGCTGATCAAATTCCTCTTTCGGTTATTTACAACGGAATAAGATTTTCGTCAACGTCACGTATTCTACATGGATCACTTTGATTGAAGATTACAGTGATTAATTTAGTTCTTTTTTCTAGTCTTTGTTTTTTTTTTACAACACAGGGGGCAAACGAGCACAGATAGTCACTTACCATCAGGTGAACCGCATGTTCACCTGATGGTAAGTGACTACCGCCGCCCATGATAACCCACAACACCAATTGGCATTGCAGGTGTGCTGCCGGCCTTTTAAAAAGGAATATGTTCTGATTGATTCTATTCGTAGACAACACACATTTTTTTATTATTTTTATATTAGACGTCAACTATCCACTGCTGAACATAGGTTTCTCCTACTGGAGGGTTTTGCCAGAAGTTTCTCGGCTTAGCAGGCGGGTTGGTAACAGCAGTTAGGCTTTGGTGATGTTTTAAAAGGACTTCATTGCCTATCCCTCGACCTTTACATTCCTTTTATCGTCTCTTACGACACCCGGGGGAAAGGAAGGGATGGTTCATTTTATACCGGGACCAAACGGCGATAGATAAATATTTAGATCAGTTTATTTAGTTTTAAAATTAGACTTGATTATGAAGCATATAAGTAAATTTTGATAAATAGAAAATATTATTTTGTGTGTGAAATTTAATATGGAACTAACACTATATTTCTGCTCATTACTTCATACGTGTGAGTAGGAAAACTAATAAAATATATTGCTTGTAGATGACATATGAAGACATAATATATATAAAATTTTAAGTTAGATCTTCAGGAATGCAACAGTGAAAACCACATGCTATTTAATGCAGTTTTTTTGCATGATGCCAAAATCAACATACAGACAATGTTATATACAATTATTCCTACGGGTTATCTTGACAGGTTTTTATATATTTTTTCTGATTTGTATTTTCGGGTTTTTATCTTAAATTAAAATTATTTTGAATCTTTTGTTGTAATATTTAAAATAAAATATATTAAACTCAATACTTTAACAAAAAACAATGACTTTTACCACAATTTTTATATTTTAAATTAGAAATAAATGAAGAATCTAAGGAGAATGGTTCTCGATTCCTTGACCTATACAGAACCTGTAACGTAAACGTGATAGGCAAACGCTACAGCTATAAGGTGACCTCTTAGATAGAGTGAGGATGTCAAATATTTTGAATTAAACCAGTTGTCCGTAGGTGGATCAGTCTGCAGACAAGTGGCAAATGAATCTAACGATAGATACGTTTTCCTTACTGCTTGCATAAAAAAAAGAACAAGAGGCCCGTGCTGAAGTACAAAATATGTATATACCCCTCCCAGTCAATCTTAGAAAAGTGTTAGAATGCTTGAATGCGGTACTATTAAAAATTTATATATATACATATTAATATTTACATACATACACAAATAAATATATATAAATAATAAATAAACTTATATATTTACACATACATAAGATATACTATACTATACACGAAGATGAGTATAGTAAACGATATGAATAATATCATATTATGGTACTAGACAACTGACAAAAAATATTTAAATGTTTTTTTTTAGAAGTGTAACAATTACATTAAATAATTATCTTATAAAATACAAAGTTTAAAGTGGTTTCGTTAAGTGAAGTTGGTATTCTATATAGAAATGTAACAGTAAATACCTATCCTCTAACGATTGTTCTTTAATTACTTTGAGCCCCTCGCGAACTTTAAATGTCCTTTTTCTTTCTTTTCTTTGATTTTTCTTCGACTTTTCTTTATTGAATAAAAACGAAAGTGGGTTCTCTAAAGATTTCGGCCGACCCTGTTTTCAGAAAAGTTGCTAACTGATTTATAAGCGTTTTCTAGTCGACTTTGGTCTTTTCATTCTTGTTAACGTGACAACACAGTATAGATATAAATGTACCTATGTGCACCTAATTGATAAGTAAATATTTATTTACACATAAACTACAGATAGATGGACTGACACCTTTTATTATTTTATTTAAAATATTACAGTAGTAAATTTATTCTAGATACAAACAATTCGAAGAAATGATCACACATTATATTACAATGTATTGTTCAAGTTTTATTAGAGTTTACAGATTGAATAAATATTTTTCAGTATGAGTAATGGTTACCGCCTTTTATTCCCGGAGTATCATAAGAGATTTAGGGGGTTTAAAGGCAGGGAATTTAATGGTAGAGGGATAGGCAGTAACGTTCCTCTTAAAACATTGCTAAAAGCCTAACTACGGTTGCCAACTCGTCTTCCAAGCGTGGCAACTACAGTGGATAGTTAACTGCTGACAAGATGATGATGATTCAGAAGTAGTCGTTCAACAGTATTTTACTTTTTGTTATTTTTTTTTTATGTTTTAACGACTCAAGCACTGGGCATATTGTACAAGTGATAAAAGGCCAAAAATAAAAAAAATAAAAAAATTAAAATGTTCATTACGTACCTTATAACCAACGTTTCTATTAACACCAGTGTGACATGACTTCAATCCTTTGAGTTGGTCCAAATTATTAATCGGGAGATCCTTGTGAACTACTATAACAGCTTGGTAACGGAACTCAGCTGGCAAATAAAATTAATTGTAAGCAAAATAATTTTTAAAACGCTTTAAGAGTAATTTTCTCAAAGCAATTAAGAAATTTCTCAAAGTAACTGAGAATTTTCTCAAAGCAACTGTTCAGTTCAGTACTATGACATATAATAAAATTAGTAAATAAATGTTTTTATGTAGGTAATAATAAGCGTAATATAATATATTAGAGTTTCTGCCCGGCTTCGCATCGGTAGCTAGGATTTTCTAATAATATATACTCTACGTAACTCGTTGATAATGTAAGTTTTTTATAGTTAAAACAATTTTTAAATTTGGTAAAATAGTTTTTGAGTTTACCCATTACAAACAATCAAATATTAACTCTTTATAATATTAGTATAGATATATAAAATTGCAGTTATATTAAAAACTTATAAAGTGTACCTATGTCTTAATTTTACTATACTCATTTTATTGGTAAAATCTTCAAAAAGTTCAGTAGTCGATCGTTATTTACATATCTATTGATAATAAAATTAGTAACAGTAAGGTAAAAAACTAATGTATATTTGTATATGACAATTTATATTCTTGCGTTTGTGTTATCAGAGAAATGCAATTCTGGACTCCTTCAAGTCGATGGTGAATAAGTATTTCCTGGGTAAGCGCCCTCCATCTGAGATCATCACGTACTATCTGGTAGGTAAGATCAAGCGCGTATTCCATCTTGTAATAAAAAATAATTCCTTTGAATGAAAGATCTATATGAGTTTTCATCGATTCTGTCGATTTACAGTAGATATTACAAAGGATGAACCTAATTATGTATTAGGTTTCGTCTTCGATAACAATGGGTTTCATGCGAGAATAACCGTTTATTTTTACTGGCTTCATTATTTTTTATGTTCCCATACAAACTGCAATACTAGCGGTGCGCGCCATGTGTGCGATATGATGCAAAAGCCAATATGCGGTGCCAGATACATTTTTCTATTTCCCCTTTTCAAAACAAAATACATGTAATATCGCAATAAATAGTGAAAAAATAAATTATCAAGACCTATTAAAATAGAATGTGAATAGTTTTTGTTGGAATCTATACAATAATAATATTTATTTTTGTCTAAAATTACTAGGTTAGTTACCTAGTAATTTTATCTTATTAATTATTAATAATTTTGTATTACGAACTATAATAAAAAAGGTGAAGAGTGTTTCTTTTTATTTTGCTTTTATTTATTAGGAGAAATAAAGTGCATCATGTCCTAAACAGATCGTATAAAGTGTTCACAATAAACACCCTGTTCTAATGCATACTTAAACCTGATAGTACTATGACTAATAGATAACTAAATACGAATATCTGAGGTTTAATTAGGTAATATATAGTTACATAAAAATAAAGATTTACGTATAAGTTCTAAACAAAGATTTAAATGGATCTCACCGATAGAAGTGCTTGGAAATTGAGTCTCTCGGGTTAATGATATAAAGGTATTAATGCACCGAATCAAACGAAGCGTATCTATTACTCTCATAGTATAGTTATCTTTTTAATTACATCTCAGTATAGAAAAGAAACAGGAAATATTCATGAATGCTTTTTCATAGCCGATAGCGATAATGCCCTACTTGGCTTATAGCTTTCTCCAATTTAAAAATTATGTAATCTATACACTATTTGGGATTGGCTCTTATCAATGTTACGACGGAATTACGTTAAAAACAGTGGGACACTTTATCTCGATGCTTTTCTGATGGGAGTAACATATTTCTTAATATTTTTTTGAAGGAATCAAATGGAAGTGATATGTAATACTGTAAAATGATATTTAAGGAATTTAATATTTTGGGAAATAGGTTACACAGAGTTATCTAACGTGTTAGTTATATTCTAATGTGTTCTGATTACTTTATAAAAGAAAATAATTCGTGTTTAATCCATTTGATAGAAATATTCACACGTCCATGTTTTATTTAAATGTATGAAAATGGAACGGGAACCCGCTTGCGTTCTACGCCATATTGGTATAATATAATGCTTGTTATTCCCCACTATCTCGTATATATAATAGTCCTGTTTTCCCTCACGCTTGTATGATAAGTATCACTTAGTTTTAATCGATAGATACTAAATTATATACATAGTTCAAGATATATAGTTTTATATGAATTTCAATACATATATTTGTTAGTCTAGAGCTTTCCTACTCCTATTTGTAGATCACGGTTGGGATTTCGAATTAGGCCGGTACCAAAACCTTTGTGTGTTCATTTTCAATTTCCGTCCATAAGTCGACAGTAGGCCTGCCCCTTTTCTCATTGAATTGAAATGTAAAGCATAGTTTCTGAATATAGTTATGTAATTGGTTTTAAATTAATCAAGAGTTATATTAGTTTACACGTCTGGATATTCAGTTTTAAATTTAAGGTAGTACTTACTTATACCATTATATTTATAAGAAATTGCAAACAAGGTTTTGTAAGTACCGATATATGATATTTTAACTGTAAGTCAGTATTATTGTTATTAATACTCGACTATTTTTGGGACCATAGCCCCTCACATATAAGGGTCTCGAATAGATACACAATTACCTCCTTATTCATAAAAACTGAAACGTTCTACACATCTAATTTAACTATACTACTGTTTTGTCACTTTTTTCAAATAAGGAATTCTAAAAGATACAGAGCAGTTAAAATAGATTTATGAGAGGTTTGACATTTTTATAAATAAGGGGGTTAAAATATAACAGTACCTTAATTGATTAATATGTTAAAAACATAAAAATATTAATGTAAAATTAAGAGCAGTAAATATTATTAACTTACCATCAGGTTCATCATAAGTTCTGAACTCTTGGAAGACGTAAAAATCCTGATTGGGCATTTTAGACGCTAAGTACATATCTTCAGGATCAGCTGGCACAAAGTCAGCTTGACGCTGTAGTATAAAATCCAAACATTCTACTCTGTAACGAAAGAACTAATGTTAATACATTTTAAGTAATAAAAAATAGATTATAAAAATAAAAAATAAATGTTAACTTAGGAAAAAACAAGTGGAATGAAAAAAAGAGGACTAAATGCCGTTGTATCCTGTAATTTATTGCCGTATGGTACCGTATGTACTCTTCAAAACAAAAAATAATCATGTCCAGTGACGAGTGTATCTACTGATGAGGATGGCTTTATTAGAATGCCTTCATCTGTTATTTTACTTTATTAATATTATAAATGCAAACGTTTGTAAGGATAGATGGGTGTTAATTATTATTTCATGCAAATTCCACTGAATGTATTGAAAAGCCTTTTTACTGAACTAGGTGTTATCTTGAGGATGTATATATCATTAGTTATTTGATTAGAATTATTTTGTTTAATTTTTTTTTGTTTTTAATATTTATTTTGTTTAATTTTGTTTAACTGCCAAGAAATCATAGATTAACTACTACTATTATTACCAGAAGTTCCACAACCTTCCATTTTAACCATCAATTGTTTGCCTGGGCACTTCTGTCCCATTCGTGTTTCTACCATGAAGCAGTTGTGTTTGGATAGCTGTGTTTCGTTTTGAATGGTGGGATATGGCAGTGAATTTATAGGGTATAGAGGAATAACAACTGAGTCCTCAGGAATAGAAAAAAAATCATAAAAAAGAAAATCAAAAATATAATCAATCTCTGGCTGCTATTTTGTTTATGCACGTTTTGCGACACGTGTTTGAAAACTTTTCAATGAAATTTGGTATACGGGTAGGTAATATCCTAATTTAGTACATGAGATATTTAATGTATTGATTCCGATAAAAGCTGCAGGATACGGCTAGTTTATTAAAATTTGTAAATTTTAGAGATATATCGTTCAAAACATTTTGATAAATTTTGTATATTTCATAGACTGTCAACCATTGTATGCTTCGCTTAGTCGTTAATACACATTTGTTTAAAAACCATAACGAATATTTACATTAACATACACAAAAACAATGTCTAGACACTACATTATTTATTCTATAACACCAGGCATGTAGTAAAATGCGTGCTATGAATATTAATAGACAAACATTTATAATAAAAAATACATCGTTTCGTGTGGGTGCATTATGATTTTGCATTTTGCCTAAACATTTATTTGAACAGATCTTCTAAACATGGGATTTCTGTACATTTAAACATGCAAAATGAAATGTTATCCTCATAATAATTTCTTAAATATTTTTTATAGAACTTAGAATGGCAATTTGATGCCAGTGGTAATTATCGGCCATAGATGTGAGCAGGCTAATGTGGTTACCATACGAACACAATATATAATGTAAAATATAAAATAAGTATAATGTCAATGTCATTTTTTAAGCGTTTTTATTTTTAAGAACTGAAGGTGCTCTTAGTGGTGTAAATGCAAGTCTAAACTTTTTTTTTATAAATAAAAATGGAATAGCAACTTTGCCTGCACTATCGGTTTACGCAGGCGAAATACCAATGTGGTATGATAGATGAGGATGAAGTTAGATTAGTTGGCCTATCGTGACAAATTTACCACGAATTAATTATAATGGTTTCCAGGGTGTTCCACGAGGGGGACAGCTTGACAATGTATATTACTAACAATGGAGACTAATATCCCTGTTGTCGACTGCAGAAAGAATTACTCAAAATAAGTTTAGAATTGGCGTAATAGTGTAACGTAGATACTTAAATTAAGGATAAAAACCACCATGAAAAAACCAACTTTAATTGTTACTAAACCAGCTATTTTCGCCTAAAAATTAAACTACTACACCGATTTCGATAAAATTTCTACAGGGCCAATCTGTAAGTATATCCTCTCAGATAAAAAAAGAATTCTCAAAATCGGTTTAAAATTAAAGGAGTTATAAGGTAACAAACATAAAAATAATACAGCCGAATTGGGAATTTCCTTTCTTTTAAAGCCATTTGAAAAGTACAGACAATTGCAAACCTCCTCTTTTAGAATTTGCTTAATAAACTTTTAAATGTTCGCATATAGAACGTCCATTAAAAGTTATACATACCGGTCCCTAGCTGCTACACATTTTAAAACGGCTTTGCTTTTTGTTTCTACTTCCAACATCTGCTCGCACTCCTTTAAAAATTTTTGGGGCACGCATATTTTATCTAAAATTTAAAAAATAAATTAACATAACATAATATCTAATGTTGCTGTGTGGTCCCGGCAAAGAATAGGCCACTTTTTCCTTGCCCGGGTATGTCGTAAGAGGCGACTAACTGAGGCGAAGGATGGGCAGTAGCGTCCCTCTTGAAACATTTCCAAAGTTAACTGCAGTTGGCAAAATCCCCCAAGGGAGAGGTTCATGTTCAGCAGTAGACAGTTAAAGATTGATATAAATATCTAATTGGGACATTGGTTTAATTTCTATTTTAATATAATAAATAAATTTTAATCTTCATATAAATAAAAATCCTGTGTCACGATGTTTCGCTGCACAAATCTTTGAAATTATTCAACCGATTTTAATGAAATATTGTAAATGTATAAATTAATTGACTGCACCACTTAAAGATTAATACAAAAAATATATTACACTTATGAAATACAAAAGGCGGTCTTGTCGTTAAAGCAATCTCTTTCAGGTAACTTTTGGGTAAAGGAGAAAAGAGAAAGACAGTAGCGATTTGGCGCAAGAAATATATTTATTAAAAAAAATGTATGTACCTAAATAAAATATATGCAAATAATCATACCATATGTGTATTGATTGCATTGTATTATCTGGTCCACCTAGATATATATGATAATTTTCACTCTCATAAGAAAAATTAAACCTAACGTTTTAAAATTAAATTGTGACGGTAGGAAGCAAAACATTTATCGGGTCAGATAGTATTAATACAATTTATATACATGTATAGTTAGATTTTTTAAGGGAATAAAATATATGACTTAATATGCAAATGTGAAGTTGATTGGATGAAAAACATATATTAATAATAAAAACAGATTTATTTAAAAATCTCGAAAACCTAATCTATTGAAGAATGTTAAGGTTAACTCACGATAACCTTTATTGAGATAAGTAATATTAATTATATGCAGGTAATTAAAATAAATACATATATATTTTGTTTACAGTATATATATATTTATAATAATTATGTTTATATAAACTAATAAAGAAGGTATAGATGCCGGCATGTATCTTGTGCAGAATAGTTACCAACCATGTGATCTATGAGTACACGGTCACAATAATTTGTAATAGTAATATTTTAGTCTATGTCTGGTTTTGTTCAAGTAAAATGAAGGTATATACCTACAAATAAAATCGGTATATTATATTTATAAAGACCAAAATACCTTGATAAAAACACTTAGTCGTACAACTATGAAAAGTCTATAGGTAATAGTGTACTTATTTAGCTGTTTCAATGTTTGTTACTTCGAAAATTGATCAAAAACTAATTTTAATGGCTACCTACTTAAAATAGTATAAATATAAAAAAATAAAAATAAAATAAAAATCTGATCTTCATAAAACACAATAAATGGAATTGACATTTATTTAAATAAATGCTAATTCAAATTATCTAATAAATTCAAAAAAAGAATAGAGAAAAAATACATACAATTTGGTTTGCCGTAGATACAACCGGCCAGTGCTATCAATAACACAATACACTTGAATGTCATAGTTTAATGTGAACACAGCGGCTCTTGTAAACACACTACAACTTGTATGACAACTACCAGTTACTTTTATATTAATTCACTAGGTATCTATTTTGTGCGTTAGGGATACGAGTATTATGTACCTCACGACAACTGGAACTGATACGATTTTGTATTTTTGTATGACACAATCAGTGTAGGCAACATTAATTTGTGTTTGTTGTTAGAAGTTTCAACGTATTTTGGCGGTAGAAGTGGGGGGGGGGGGATTGTTAGTAATAGGAATTAATGGCCCCATTGCTAGCAACACACCTTATTAGGTCTATTTACACGTGTAAATTATCGAGATTAATTCATGGTGATTTAATTCCGATAAGCCGATTTACCTATCTTTTTCTATATGTATCTTTATATATATTCTTATTTTAATATATCTTTTATGAAAATGATCAGTAGCTAGAAATATATAAACTGTACTTACTGTACACAACACTACTACAACGCGACAAATTTTCTTTAAATATGAACACAAGTTTGTAAAAAATTAAAAAATTAACTGTTAGAATGTTTCAAACTATTTTTTTATAATGTATAAGGAATACACATATTTATTTAAATTATTCCAGCTATTATAAAAAAAAAATAAAAATGGCAGTATGGACATATTTCTTGCGTCCGACTTTTTTTTGAGTAAAAAAGAAGTCGTAAACAATGCGGATTTGGCGGTTGGCGCGTAAATTTAAACTTAGATGAAAAATGTAAACTAATTAAAAATTTAATTAGGATAATGGATTGGATACACTGCAACAATTGTTTTACTCAGTTAGAACCAGGAATTACTCTTAATTTGACATCATGTGGTCACATGTTTTGCAGCAATTGTTTAGAAAATGGTTGGTATGCTTTTATTGAAATGAAATAGGTAAACAAATTTAAATACTGATCTAAACAGTTTCATTCATATACATGGTATTTTTTGTTTTAGGTGTAAAACAAAATACTACGTGTTTAGTATGTCGTGTGCCCTGTTCTACAATGAAACTTGTTCCAGATGTATGTTCGTATTTATATTTTGCTACATAGTATATAAAACGGTAAAAAAAGTAATTAGTATCTATTGCAATAAAGATTTCTTTGGTTAGATATTAGTATTAAATTTATTTATATGGTTGACTGGGAGAGAATGTTTTTAGCATTAAGTCCGTCATGTACACATATTTGTACTAATGAATAAATAAATAAACAAAAAAATAAATACCTATATATATAATAAATATAAATTTTGCTTAGGTATATTATTACTGAAATTCGAATTTTTTAAATGGAATATTATCAATAATTATTTATTAATTAAAGTTAATTTATCATTAAATTTTTGTAATTAGACTTAATCTAATAATTATAACTAATACAATCTCATAATCAAATATGAATAATAGTTACACTTACAAAAAAAAAAATTAAATTAATGATCAGTCTTATTCATGATCTGTACTCGACCCAAAGGTCCCCATGACTTTTTAATTGATTGCTTATTACTTATTATTATATTATATTATTACTTAGAATAAATAAAATATATTTATAAATCACTAGCTTTTCTCCGCGACTTCATTCGCGTGACCGGATCCTGTTCATCTACCGGTATAAAATGTAGTCTATGTCTTTTTCGATATACTGTAAGTATATACACCATGTAAACCATGTTCCATAGTAATTGGTTTAGCCGTTAAGAGGTAACAAACAAACAAACAGACTTATTTTACATTACACGTTAGTAAGGATTCAAAAATTGTTTTATAAAGAACTTTAGCTATTTTCTTATTTATATTCAAAAGCTAGATTAAATTCAAAAGCATTAGAATCCTTTAAAAATAGTATTTCATTAGTGAATTTGAATATTTTTCACAAATATGTGTTGAAAAATGACAATAAATTTTGACTCTCTCAAATTAACTTGGGAATTGTATAGAAAAAAATGATCTGTTTTACCAGTAAAATAGTCTTTTGAAAGGATACTTCATTATGTTTAGCAGTAGATAGAGATTATTATGTTAATTTTACATTTCTAATCAATTAAAGAAAGAGGGTAGACGTCAGGCAAGTGGCCAGTCGTACCAAATCTTTTTGTAATATGGATAAAATCATATTACGCCGACCCCAAATGATTGGGATAAGGGTAGGAAGATGATGATGATATAAGATTAAAATGATAGCCATGAACAAGAAGAGCATACCTATGTAATATTTAATAGTTTTAATTTAACAAAACTTTTAGATGAAACCAGAGATACAGGATTATTTCACCGAGCCCGAAGAGATAATTAAAAAGTGCTGCGAAGTTTTACAGTTCCAGAAGCAGCATCGTCGCCGATTACTGTCTTATTTGTTTCAGTCGGTAAAATATTTTGTACTTATATTGCAAGTAATATTGTGGATTTTTTTTTAATTTTAATCGTTTGTGTTTATGGGTGAATTTTTGATAGGTTTCATCAACATCATCTCAGCCATTATCAGTCCACCGCCGAACATAGGTTTCCCTCATAGGCTACCATAAAGTCACAAGTAACAGTCCTGTGTCATCTGCATGCACTGACTCCCTGCAATGTATTTGAGGTCATCACTCCATCTAGTCCATTTTCATGGGTTTAAAAATAGAAATTACACTTGGAAATATTTGAAAAGTATATTTTTCTTACTTTGATTTATTTACATACTAGCTATTAACGGTGACTTAGTCCGCGTAACCGGGATTTTTTTAATGGGTGATAATGGTATGGTAACCCCGTCTGCGCCATTGGTATACACTGTCACCAGGGGCACCAGTGATAGATGACTGATGAAGATGAAAGTAGGTCAGTTGGCCCAGCCTGACGAATTAAACTAGAATAAGTCACGATGGTTTCCAGGGGGAACCACGTCGAGGTCGACCTGACAGGGTATATTGCTAGTAATAGGGCTATTTGACCCCATTACTAACAATCCCTTTCCACCCGTAACAGGGATTGTGTTCACTGACCAGGATAAAAAGCAGCCTATAATCTTCTCTATGCCATATATTACGTATATACTAAATTCCATAGTGTTTGGTTATGCCGTTGAGGTGCTATAAGGTAACAAACAAACAAACTTTCATATTTATAATATTAGTAACTATCTTTACTAATATTATAAATGATTTATATTCATTGCGTAAAAGCTACTATATCAAATCGGATGCGTTCACTCACAGTTGTGTGTTGTGAAATTTGAACTAAAAAATTTGGTGTATATTTTAATTTGCGAAGTTAATATGCCAATTTATAAGAGCGATCTTCCTTTTTTTTATGAAACTTGGAATGGCAAAAAAGCTGACGGCCCACCTGATGGAAAGTGGTAACCGTCGCCTATAGACATGAGCAGTACCGTGGACATAACAGAGTATACTGTTTCGCCCATGATACCCACCATGCGTTGCCATTCCAGAGGACTCAGGTGTTATTCCTGTGTACCCTGTAAATTCACTGCTATATCCCACCCTTCAAATCGAAACACAGCCATACAAACACAACTGCTTCACGGTAGAAACACATGGGACAGAGGTGGTCAAGTAAATGACTTTTGTACAAAGTCTCCCTCTGGTAGACTTAAGATTAATAGAAAAATTACTTGTATTAGTTTCACTATTTAAAAAATCTACGAGCATGAATTGCAAGTAAATGTTAGTATTGAAATAAATTTAAATAATATCATCCACTCTGTTATCTACGTAGTGGTAGACGTTATTTGAGCAATGACGTCGGGGCTTTATATTACGAGATAAGAAGTTATTACATTGTAAAGAACATTTAGTGAGTTATCCAAATTGTAAAGATTCTACTGCTGAGTTCGAAATAATGTTATTGATTTGGTACTGCTGAGAAAAAACCGAAAAAAACTCAATATTTACTCTTTTCAATTCGTTTATGTACAAGATAATTTTATATCTTCTATACGATACGATATTTATACCTACTGACTTTATTTTTTCCTTATTGTGACATATTTAGTGAACAATCTCGACGTTTTTTTTTTTTTTATCAGAATAAAGCATAAAAATGGATAAGTACATCCCTTCAACAAAATGTTTATGAATTGCATAATTTGTGTTTGTTATCAGAGTACATTTTTTAATCATTCTGGAATATTAAAAATTGATTAATATTTAAAAAGTTTAATTTGAGTAGAATAGGATCTTTTGGAAGTGAATGGAGGAGATCTACGTACAGCAGTGGGATTCATAATGGGTAAATAATAAAATACAATAGATTGTACAGATGTTGTCATACTTTAGTATGATGCTCTTAAGTGTTAAATGCGATTTTATTACCGTAAACATTTCAATAGTTTTATGAATGGTTGTATTATTACGAGAGTTAAGACGCAAAGAGGTAACATATGAACAAACATAAGGCCAGCATATATAATGTGAATAGTATAGAACAAACATAAGCAGCAACATACAAGCAAATTCTCGCGTATTGCAGGTGTTTATGGGCGATGGTAGCCACTTTTCATCAGGTAGACTTGCTAGTTTGTCTCCCTATCAATAAAAAAATCACTATGATATTTTTATTTCTAAACTAGCCTTTATCTGCGACTTCGTCCGCATGGTTGGGATATGTACACTGATTGAGATAAAACGTAGCCTATAGTAACTATCTCCATCCCTTATGGTGCATGTATACCACATTTCATAGTAATTGGTATTCAGGAGACAAGAGGTAACAAACAAACTTATTTTGACATTTATTTTATTGGTAAAGACTATTTATTTAAAAAAAGTCGTACCGAAATTGTTTACTTAATTTGAATGTACTTAACTTGGTACTTTGTTACTTTTTTCAGACAAAGAAATTCTACACAGCTCGTAATGAACTGAAACGTATGACTGAATTGTGTCAAAAACAACACAAGCAAATAAAGGAACATCAGAGAATGATAAAACATCTGGAGTGTCAAATTGCTAATCAGTCGAGTATTTACTTTTTTTTCGTCGTATATATATATATGTGAATTAATTAAGTAAACAATCAATTATTTGTCGAGATTTTTCCAATAGAATACGATTTGGGGTTCCTCAAAAAAGTAATAAGTATAAACATTTCTTTAGAGACGGCAATGCGCGCGCAATGTCCTTGGTGTTGCAGGCGTTCATAGGCTACGGTAACCGTTAACCATCAGGCAGACAGGTCTGCTTACCTCCTCAGTCGTATAACATTAAATTCAAATGCTAGGTTTTGCTATCTCGTTCTATCTCAAGTATATGTATCAGCGATAACGTGTCTATCGATACCAATCTGGTACATAATTTGTCTTTTGACACTATTATTTTACATTTCCAAAAAATGGTATGAGACGACGATAGGAACAAGCCTAGAAATAGAAATATAAATGCAAGATAGAAAAATTATGATAAACAACCTATACCAAACTGCTTGGCCAGTGTAGTAATATTAGGCTAATCCTCATTATATAAAGAAAAATTGGATGGAGTTCAAAATTGGAAAGTCAACCACTTGTTATGGTATGATTATACTGTTTAATTTTATTTTTAATGGATGATAATGGAATGGTAATCCCGCCTGCGATATCAGTATACGCTGGCGGGGTATCAGTGAACGATGATAGGTCAGGGTGAAAGCAGGTCAGTGAGCAATAATTAACCATTGTGATTTATATCAGCCGCTATCTGTCCACTTGTTGACTATAGGCCTCCCCCATAAATTGTCATAAAGAATGGGATCGTTCTTTATGGCCGTTTACTACTGGTACGGCGATTTTCCCAGTAGTTGCCACGCTTGGCAGGCTAGTTTGCAACCGCAGTTTGACTTTTGGTGATGTTTAAAGAGGGACGCTGCTGCCCATCCCTCGACCTCTTCCCTTAGTCGCCTCTTACGACATCCACGGGAAAAGAAGGGGTGGCCCATTCTTTACTAAGACTAGACGGTACAGTATTGTGATTAATTTACTAGGAATTATCCATGATGGTTTCCATGTGGGACCGTGTTGATGTTGACCTGATTATATTGCTAGAAGTGGGGCCGCTCTTTCCCGTTACTACAATAGGGATTGTTACTAATGGGTTCTTACCATCGTTTAGGACTTACCTTGTATATAAATTAAATTACATATACGTAAAAAATATTTTTAAAAGCATATTTTAAAAAAAAAGTATTAAGAATGAATGTAGATGGCTATAAGAGCAGAGAAAGACCTAAAAAGACATGGATGGATTGTGTGAAAGACGATATGGCCACAATGGGAGTGAATGCGGAAATGACTGGGAATAGAAAAGAATGGAAGAGGAAAACATATACAAATAATAATTGGGATAAGGGTAGGAAGATGATGATACATAAAAAATGCTCAAGAATATAATCATCTTATATTTATCGACTGTTACCGTTGTGGTATTTTTTTTTAAATGAATAATAGTGGAATTATAATGTCAGCGTATACCGATAGCGCAGGCGGGGCACCAGTGAGGTATGATAAGTGAGGATGATAAAGCAAGTCAGTTAGCCCATTGTGACGAATTAAACGATATATAAGTTATGATGCATTCCATGGGAAACCGCGTGGAGATAGACCTGATAGGGTATATTGATAGCAATGGGGTCTAATCTCCTCATTATTAACAATCCCTTCCTCCCGTTACCGTTGTGGTAAACGAAGCAATCGACATGCCCATATTTCGCTGAGCATATTTAAATTCATGCCACGGAGCAACCCTGCCGCCATCGCTCGGATTAATTTGGTTAGGCAACAATATTTTTCATCAACGGAAAATTGACAGGGGAGTCACAAATTTAAAAATGACATGCTTTTTTTTATTACGGCCAGTTTTGTTTTTCAATGAAATTTGGTGTCTATTACTTGTCACGATGCTCACATTTAGGCAATACCTCACATAATGTAAATGATCTAAGATAAATTCATTATTTTAATTCTGATATCATTTAGAACAAGCATCTCCATTTAACATCCCAATATCACCGAGTTCCAACATATCTCCGAGTTTCATACAAACCACACCGACATACAAACGAACTGCTAAGAGTACGCCTTACAACGTAAATGTAAGTATAACTCCTTACTACATAACTAGTTAACTTTATAAGCTTGGATTTTAATAGTACGTAAAAATTTTAAGTTAGATCTTTAACTTTTGAGTGATGATTAAATAAACATAGAGACTGACCCCCTCATTAAAAAAAAAGAACGTGAAGCTTCTCATATATCTATTTTAGCTATTGAACTGTTATGTCTCTTTCTTTGATGTTAAATTTCTAATTTGAAAGAAAATGACAAAACAGTGTAATGGTTAAAATAGATTTGTAGGTTTTAATTTTTATATATATATATATATATATATATATATATATATATATATATATATATATATAATTATTTCTTTTTTTTTTATTTTGATTTATGTACAAACATCTACACAGTAATTCTTAATATCCAAAAGTTATCTATCTAGAAGTAATAATTAGTCACTCACCATCAGGTGAGCCGCATGTGTTATATATATAAAATAAAACAGATTATTTAGTAATAAGACCATTTGTACTTTATGCCTATTCAACCTATTTTTATTATTGGTGTAATAAATGTTGAACAAATAAATATTGTTTATGTAATATGTTAATGTTATAAAATGATTTATTATCAATAAATAAATTACATTAATAGCTTGCAAATTATCTTGGTATTTTACCGTAGTTATCAAGTAAGTTTCGGTACATATTACAAATATTAAAGTTCTAATAAATTAATATTATATGCGTCAAACTCTCTTTTATTATAGTCTTCCTAGTATTTATATGGGTGACATTTTTTTCAGCAGCCATATCAGTCGAATCTCGTAACTCCATTACGTATAACTAAGCAGCGAAATAGTAACTTCAGTTCTCAGAGCCAGGTAATGGTTTAAACAATAGTCTCATATTGAAGGTAATAATATACGGTGAGGTCTGTGGGATCTATACTAGCATCGTAATAAAGAAACTGAGGATTATGGTGTTATGCTTTTGTACCCTGTAATTTCATTACCATATCCCACCCTTCAAACTGAAACAACAGCTTCACGGTACAAACATAAGTACCAAAGTTGACGACTATTGTACAATTTTCCTTTATTTTTTTGTGTCTAGTTTTTTGTCTAGTATTTTTTATGTATGCTCCTTTTCAGAAATCTAATACATCGAACAAGATATCATCGACAGTCTTCACACCCCCCACTCCAGAGTCGGCAGGGTACAACAACTTTTTAAAGAATCTGTAATGGTATTCCAAATGATAATGACAAGAAGCTGCCTGCGATTATGCTAATGCGAATTTAATATAAAAACTTTTTTCTTTCTTATCTCCTATGACAGTCTCGCTCTGTGATTTGCATGTTAAAATTGTGTTCTGATTGGATTAAATTGGACGTTCCGAATTCGAATTACAAATTTGCCAAGTCAAGCTTTTTATCTTTTCAGCCAGCGATTTTTTTGTTAGTTTTTTTTAGAGATCAGCGATCTAGATAAATGCTTAAAAGTATAAATAATGTATGTATTGAAATTTATGTATTATTCGATTTGGTTCTAGGTGCTTCTTAAGTCAATGTAGCAATGAATCAGGATATCATTCAAACAGTCCTCCTTCAGTGTCACCATCTTTCTTATACTGCAACGGCTTCAGCAGAAATTGTTGTTTAAATAAAAAAAGAATGAAGATTATGAAGGCTTGAGAATTAGTAACTATAGTTAAAATATCAAATAATTTGTCTGTATTTTGTGAAGTAAGAAGATTAGATATTCAATAACATAATGCATGTTTTTCTTCAATATTTGATTCACAATAAATTTGGATATGTGTACAAACATCTTTTTCTCGAATAAGTTACAGTAGATAATGAACTTATCTATCACATAGGTGGGGAATAAGCATTCAGTCTGTGTGATGATAAGATACTATTGTAGCCCATAGACGGTTGTATAATATAATTACTACAAGGGTATTTTTTTAATGCATGATAATGGAATGTTCAGTTCGTCTGCGCTATCGGTAAACGCTGGTGCGTGAGGGATCATCCATCCCAGATGATGATGAAGCAGACCAGTTGGCTCCATCGTGACGAATTCAACAATAAATCAATCACAATGATTTCAAGGGGAACCGTGTGGAGGTCGACCAACAGGGTATATTGCTGTCAATGGGATAGCTAATCTCCATTACTAACAATCCTTTTTCCCACCTACCATGTGTATTATTTGCATTATTACCACTAAACAATCCTTACATCGTCTTTATTTGAAGAATTGCATATTCTAGTTATTGGGGAAAATCACGGCAGGGAATAGTTGTAGTAAAATTAGAAATGAAGACTTAGTAATAATGAAAAAATCAAAAAGCGTTTATTTCACGAAGCGTACATTTGGTTGGTAATCGTTTAACGGCGATGGATAGGTAAGATTCCCTTGTTTTGTTGGTATCCGCCGCTCGCCTCCTGGTGTCCATGGACAGAATGGGCGCCAAGATTGTTGAATTTTTCCAGCTGTTCGGCGCCGCCCTTGTAGCCCTTTTGCAGAAATTCACCCTGAGGGAGAAGAAAAGATTAAGTATTTTAGTAATTTGTACAATTATTCTTATTATTTTCTATTTTAATTGATTAATCGGGAATCTTGATATTCTTAAGGTGTCACTTTTTATTTTGAAGTTTGAAAAGAAAAACAGATATAGATGTAAATCAAATAAATCGACTTCGATAAATCTTTAATTTTATGCATTAAAAATTGTAAATGTAGTTCCATTTTTTGCGTTAAATGAAACGCAGAAAAAAGAATTGACAATAAAATAGTACTCTATGTTAATTTGGGAAAATATATTTGGATAACAGGGGCGTAAACACTGTAGCATGTAAAATTAATAATTAAAATCAATTTTTAATTGATTAATTATAAAAAAATGCTATTTGGACTAATAGAAGATACCTAACAACGATATTAGGCAGCGTAGCGCTGTATCTGTTTTTTTTTTTTTAGTAAAATATAGCTCATGTAAGCTTGCTCATAGCTCATGTCACTTGCAGATAAAGTAGTTTTAAACATGTGAAAGAATTTTTTTAGTCAGTTAAAAAGATTTTAATTTCATCTATTATAAACAAACATACAAAAAACCTAATCTTTTCTGCTTATAACATTAGTTCAGTTATAACAGAAGTTAACAAAATGAACGTTTTCTATAGGTATTTTTTTTTAGCAAGAAATCGTCTTAATGACGTCGTATGAGAGTTAATGAGTGAGTATTCGTTAAAAAAATAATAGGTGTTAAAATTCTTGCAAATCTTTATATCTTATTAGAAGTAACCTCACTAAGTTTACTTTTCATACTGATTTTTTAACCTTTATCCTTATTAGGTTAGATTAAATATGCTCAAGATACTTTTATCAATTTTTTGTTATAAGTTTATCAATTTTTAAGAATAAATATTCAAGTTTCTACATTTTATATACTAATATAATAAAATGTAACTTGATGTCTGTAAATGAGAGATATTTAAGAAAAATTGATATAAGGGGTCTTGATAAGAGTAACAAAAGCAAAATAATAATTTTTAGAAATTTTATCTATGTGTCTCTGTCTGTATGTATGTCTGTTCCGCATTCTGCATCACACAAAAACTACTACACTATAATAATTGCGGTTTTCATAGTTGTGAAGACTTAGTTAGACATTTAAAATCTAGTATATCAGAAACCTTCAGGTATATAGTAGCGGGCAAAAAGTTAGTATTATATATAATGAGGAGCTAAAAACATTTTAGAAACTATTATTTAAATTTGTCTAAAACATTTACTTATACGTGATGATGATGATGATGATATCACAGACTTTCCCTTTAGGCGGTTTCGTTTATAGTTGGCAGGCATGTTGATAACCGCAGTTAGGTTTCGATGTTTTAAAAGGGACGCTGCTGGTCATTCCTCGATTATTAAGTTCGCTTAGTAGCTTCTTACGACAGTCACGGGAAAGGAAAGAGTGGCCCGTTTTACGAGGGATCACATGGCAAAAACGCATAATTTTGTCGCATTTTACTTATCTTACAGTTGTAATTATTTTAAAGGTGATTAAGAATTTTATATGTACCATATTTTATGATTTTGTTCTACAAAGAAGAAACATCTATCGTGACAATGACTACCAATTTAATTGATTCACTTTGGGCATTTCACTTCGAGAATAATATTCAAAAATAGGTACTCACTTTGTTTGCTTTGCTGTCATCAATTTTCTCTTGAGAGACGTGATGACCTTCCTTGCCTTGCGCGTTGGCATCCAAGATCTTCTCTTCGTGGGCACCCTTGAAGCCTTGCTTTGAGTTCTCTCCAAATGAACCGGCGTTTTGTCCAGCGATTTTATGATCTGCTTCATCATGCGCCTCATCGTAGAAGCTCTCAGTTTTTTCCTCCTCGTTCTTACTACTGGATGTTTTAAAACCTTTGCTTACGTGTCCTTTTTTATGACTCTTCGCTTTCTTTAATTGTTCTTCGTTGGCGCCTAAAAGTATTTATAAACATTGAATAAATAATAGATACATACCATTGGAAATATTACATATTATTCTTAAATTAAGCTAAGCTTGTACAACGAAAATTAATCATGTTTGAAGTATACATTTTTTATAAATGGCAATGAATATAATGATAGTGAAAGCCACACAATTACATTAATCAAATGATCTTCAAGTTAGGATACCTTAGAAACTAGAAAAATAGCATCTGATGGTCATAATCCAGAACATCCAAACCCGAGCTAATTCAGAAAAGTTCGCTTCCTACATTGTCTCGAATAAGAATCCAACCTAGGATCTCATTATGCAAAGCAATTTACCACGGAAATAGTTAAAATTCAAATCTATATATCTATCTATATGTTAAATGGTATGCAAGCTAGACTAATCATAAACACAAATAAATGATATATCTAACTAGTCCACAACTTGTAATAATGAGGACATTATCCGTCTATCTATTACTGTCACCTCTATATCCACAAACATATCTGTAGCTATACAGATGATTAATAGTAATACGTAGAGCGTAACTAAGTACTGCCTGTAAGTTCTTTGATCGGTCACTGAATTTTCATACCGGAAATAAACTCCATTAGGCCTAAGAGTTATAGTAGGTAATTTATTATTATTTATTCGCAATGCCGGAAAAAGGCTTTCCATGCAGGGTGACCTACATAAGCAATAAGGTATGATTATAGTTTGGTCTGATATTAAAATTAAATGGACGAGTACATACCATGTTTATCAATCTTTTGTCCTCCTTCATAATACTTCTCGTCTCCCGCGGCTTTCTTCTTTGCTTCCTCGTCTTTGTAGAAACTAGATTCTCCCTTTTCTGCCTTAGCAGCAGCTGCAGCTTGTTGAAATCCTTCTTGGCCATGCTTGGCTTCTTCTTCTACTTTCTTCTCAAGCTTCTCCACATTTTCATCAGCTCCTTTTTTCTGTGCTGCGTCGTATGCTTTTTTATCTACGTATCCACCTCCAACTTGAGCTCCTAATAAAGGATGATACAGGAGACCACCGCCGAGGCCAATTCCACCGACGCCTAAACCGCCAAGTCCAGGATTGATTAAGCCAACTCCACCACCAACGCCGCCAACGCCAGCTCCACCTAGACCAACTCCTCCGAGGCCGAGTCCTAAACCTTGGCCAATTCCAACACCTCCTAATTGGCCGATTCCACCCAATCCTATACCTTGCCCCAATCCAATTCCACCGACACCACCCACGCCGCCGACACCTCCAACGCCGCCGACTCCGCCAACACCACTAACAGTATTCAAGATGGTAGATGCTGCTCCCTCTAATTTATCAGGGTAATCCTCACTTTCTTCAACTTCGTACGAGTTAGACAGAGGGAAACCACTTTTTGCCTCTGATCCCAATGTTTCTAAACGTTCCTTCACATAGTCGTAGGGTGTCTTCTCGTTCGCCAGTTCAACTTTATGAAACACTTGTGCCGTCGCCAATGCGACAGCTGATAGAATGAACACAGTTGACAACATCGTGCTGATGTGATCGTTACCGACGTTTTGCGACTGTTGTCATTTCGATATTGGACCGTTTATTTATACTAAGGTTAAAATTGGTGGAACGAAGTGGTTTTTGTTTTGCCAGTGGGATAGTTTTCACGCGCGGTGTCTGGGACCCGTGTCCAGTGGTTTCCTTCCTGTGGTATTGTTTTAACTGCTCCTAATGGGAACGATACCAGTAAAATAAGACAATAAGCCCAGTCAAAGACCTTGCTTTCCAGTTCATTGGAGCCGGCAGTGGGGCGCTAGTTTACGCAATCGTCGACTCGCTATGGGTGACACGTTTTCTCAATGATTTAAAAAAGGTTACCTTTATTTTCTCGAAGAAAGTACTCAATATAATTATTTATTATTAAATTAAATATATTCGTTTCTAAGACTAGTTACCTGTTTGAAGTGTCAATGTCTTCTGCAAGCAACCAAGCAAGTGAGTATCATTAAATAACCGTTGTCTACCGTATTTAATTTTAGCTTCAGATGCAAATAATGTAAATAATTAAATTAATTACCATTACGATAAAATTTTGCAACATTTAATAAACAGATGATTAAATTCTTCTTTGCATAAATCTAATTTAACCTTGTTTCAGATTGGACGATTTCACGTCATTGTTTTCTTGTCAAAAATATGTGTCGAGGGCTCAATTAAAGGTTATCGCCTATTATGTTGAGTATCAATGAGTAACCAATATCAGGCCAAGTATTTACATACTTTTTTTGAGTCAGTTGGTTAATTTTTTAAATAGTGTTTTTGTATATGACACAAAACTTCACTATGTATTTACAGTATCTATGTAGTATTGTAATAATAAGTAGTAAAATATTAAATTTAAATTTTGGTGTAACTAATATATAAATTGTATTAGAAATGTCGACTACATGTCACTGAAATATGACTTGAAGATTATTTAGAAACGTCTCAGCAACAGAGGTGGTCAGACATTGTTCTTGAATTTCTAAAATGTTATCTATATTTGATAATCATAGCTAATGGTTCATATCATATCAGCCGTAAACACAAATAATGGGAATTTATTTATAACACGAAGGTCAATGTTCATAAGACAATGTACTACTTATTATTTGGTTTGATTCACTATTATTACTCGTGTGAAGATGATGTTAAATTAGCGATATATCTAATGTCAATGCAATAAACAAAGTAATGCACCTATGGGTAAGATTATAACACAGTTAGTAACATAATTTAGATAGATGTATAGTATATTCTATTATGACCATGGTACTGCTCATGTCTATAGGCGACAGTTACCACTTTTCATCAGATGGGTCGCTTGCTTGCCATTCTAAGTTGCATAAAAAAGACAGATAAACACTTAATTTGAGTAATTGACACACGTAAATTTACAAATATAATTCATACAATCAAATGTGTGACTAATTTTAAAAATAAACCAAAAGATTAAATACAAAAATATGTTTTTGCCATATGCCAGTGACTTAAATAGGATACAGCTCAGTGTTAGTTTTGCTTATAAGCAAAGCATTTATTTTCAGCTGCAGCCTGAAGTTAGACTTCACAGACGCGTGCAACGAAACTAGTGTCCCTGTATGACCAGATTAATACACTAAAATAAAATTGTAAAATATAGAAATATACGTATATAAATAATGAATACATAATATATTTGATTTGTTCATATTAAACATACAATATGATTAATTCATCACAATAATTATTATATGTTGAAAGCAGCTGTTACCAGGCGACCGTATCAAGTTTTTATTTATATTTGTTTGATATAAATGCTGTTTTTAAAAATGTAGCTAGTTTCACTGGAGGGGGTATGTTATTTCAGCATTTAGTCGCCTAGAGGGAGGAGAGAGTCGATCAGAGAGAGATTTTGTAAAAAGTCGTCTGCTTGGGCACCTCTGTCCCATTCGTGTTTCAACCATGAAGCAGTTGTGTTTGCATGGCTGTGGCAGTGAATTCACAGGGAACAAAGGAATTACACCTGTATCCTCAGGAATGGCAACGCATGGGAGTTATCATGAGCGAAACAGTATACTCTATTATGTCCATGGTACTGCTCATGTCTATAGGCGACGATTACCACTTTCCATCAGGTGGGTCGTCAGCTTGTTTGTCATTCTAAGTTATATAAAAAAATGGTAGGGAAAACATCCGGTAAAAGTGACAGTCCTATGAATGAATATAAATTTATATTGCAATGGGTCAGACACATTGGCATATTTAATATTATTATCCAGGAGAGGTCTGGCCCTTTAAAAAAACCACATATGCACTTATAGATTTGTCTTTGCAAAGCTTAATTCGCAATTTGGGTCGAACAGCGAACAATTCGATTTAAAAGTGTTTGTAAACAAGTGTATTTGAATAAAGATAATTTGAAATTGATTTTGGGGTTGGGCACCTTATTATTATCATTTCTCAGGTGGACTGTTGGCAAACAAGCCAACTTAAGTCGTATAAAAACCTACATTTATACTCGTATTTGATTGTAAAAGTAAAGTTTACAGAAGGTAACTCAAGTAGGTACACCCTTGTTTTGGTAGTGTCAACTTTTTTATTTATTTGGTGAAAACAAGACATGCTATGGTTTGAATACGAGACAAAGTGATAATAACTTACAGATATGTGCGAGTATCACGCGATATATGAGTTTTATTGGTTTACGAACTTTGAACCTTATGAGTAACGCATAAATAATAAAATGCTTGATGGAATAGTTCCCTTTATCTAGTCGTAACATTAGAAGGAAATAATAGAAGACAATAAAAAACAAAAGATGATATAAAATAAACGCATATAAAAATACAGTGGCCAGTGATATGCCACAAAACCGATAAGTACTTACAACAATTTAGGTACCTTACTATAGAGCTGAATGACCATTTAATTGCCTATCGAATATATTGTTTCTAAAATAGGTATAACTAAAAGTTCTAAATAATTGATACACAGTTAATAATTATTATTTATATAAAAAAACAGAAAACATTCTAATGAGACGAGACTTCTTGTAATCTTAAATACCATTTGAAAGAATTAATTGATATTGTAATTATTGTTCGCCATTTGGTGCCATCATAGCATGATCCATCCTTTCCTTTCCCGTGGGTATCGTCAGAGACGACTAAGAGAACTGAATGGTCGAGAGATGGATAGCAGCTTCCCTTTTAAAACTTCTGTTGCCGACCCGCTTGCTAAGCGTGGCAACTAATAGCATTAGAGTGAGGCCTATATTAAGCAGTAGACAGTTAATGGCTGGTAAGGTATGGTACAATTATTGATAGAATGGACACATATAACTATAAGTTACCATATAATTAAAGTTTATTATTCTTACTTTTAAATTTATATTTAGTTTTTACCTACGACTTTGTCTACATGATGGATATATTTTTAAATCAAGATAAAAAAGTCTATTTGTCTCCTTCTCCATAACATAAATATCCCAAATAGTATTTGGGATATTTATGTACCTATATATAGGTACATATATGTTAAATTTCATATCGATTGTTTAAGCTATTAACGCGCTAAGAGATGCGACAGATAACAAATAAAAACTATAATTAAAATACTCTTTGTTTTTTATTAGATCGGTATAGTTTATATTTAATGCATTGCAGGGTATTAGTGGATGCAGGTAGCTCAGGATCGTTCCTTATGGCAGTCTATGATGAGTCCAGCAGTGAACGGATAATGCCTGAAATGATGATGATGATGATACAATATTTTATATAAATTATTATTAGTGTGTTATATTAATTATGCATAATATAAAAATTAACAGAAAACGCCTGATGTAAATAAATAGCAATATAACGCAGCTATAAGAAATAGTGTCTAGATTATTATAAGTAAGGTATGATATAATGTACTTTGTAGATATATTATTTTAATGAATTTCGAGTTAAATAAATATTTGTTATTATTTACTCTGTTATAGAAGTTATAACAGAAATATTGGAAGTTCGCTTCGGAAGTTTAGCTTTTGTTTTAGTTGTATTTATTTAGGCTTCTCTAATAGGCAAGGTAACTGAAAATATAAATCAAATTTAAGCTATTAACAGCAAAGGGCTAACCTATATATAATACGTACACTACTGTATCTTGTATCCCGTTAGCGACACACTTTTGCTTCAAACCACGGGATCGCAGTGAACCCTGAAAAAAAATAGACAAGGTAAGCATTGAAAGGTATTGTCTATGTATTTTTAAATAGTGATTTTAAAATATTTGTTTAAAATTAGGAAAAGGGGACGTTCAAGTGTGACGTAACGTAATGCTTGAAGATTTGTGACCCTCCCTCCTCGTCACGTAATGCGCCATAACATTTTTTGTATATTTGCTGTATCTCCTCAGTACTCAAGAATATCACTATGGACATCGTTGTAAATTCTAGGATATTCGTGGTACTAGATTTATCCACCGTAATAGGTAGATTTCATAACAATGAAATCATAAAAATGAAGTAACAACTTCAAGTAGCATAAAAACATACACAAGAAAAATATAGCAAGAATCTAAAACTAAGGAACAAGGAAATTATTACATAGATTTCTGGAAGTAATGACAACCCGGCTTAGGTTATCGGTTTTCCCGGGAATACTATTGGGTACGATGGGTGAGTACGAAATAAGGTCACTTTACCCTTTGTGACCAAATCACAAACATCTGTTTCAGTGGAACTGAAAAGAGGGCGAACTAACGTGATAATTCATTGTTATCATAATAGGTAAATAATTAAGTAACTAGTGGGGGGAAAGTGATTGTAGTAACAGTCTCTATTAGTAAATAGAGACTAAGAATTCCATTGCTAGCAATATACCCAACTCCTCGCGGTTCTCCCTAGAAACTATCATGGTTAATTCCTGTTGAATTCATCATGATGGGCTAATTGGCCTGTTTTCATTCTCATCTATCACCCTTCACTGGTACTCCGCCAGTGTATCCCGTTAGCGCAGGCGGGGTTACCATACCATATTAACCCATCAAAAAAAAATTAAGTAACTAGTCTCCATTATTATCAATTCACATCTATTAAGTACTCATTGAATTCACGTTTAAAACATATTCTAAAATGTTTAAAATCAAATAATCCATACATTATTTGATATAAACATTTTTGTTGTGTTAATAAAAGGTTACACTACTTTTCGAACACCAAATAATAATATCATTGCATCTTCATATCGCGATGAATCACAACTGTCTGACATTAAAACTGACATGTTCCACCTATTATTGTCTTATTAATGTCATTCAAATTACAACTTTCGTGCCACAAGACACGATCAATTTTCGTCCACCAGCACTTTCGCCTTTCTATAAACTTACAAAGATAATTTTGTCGATTGTTTAGAATAATTCACGTTGGATTTTGCATTTTCACCTGTCAATCATAAGGTTGATTGTTATGTAAGCGATGATAAGCTAAAGTTTACGCGCTACATCATTAATCGTCGATCACTTATTCATAGTGCACTTTCTATAGATTGCATCCAGTTACCGAAAAATAATAAACGCTCGTCAGCTTTCACTGTACGTTGCGACAA